AGCACACTGGACTTCCCGTTTCATCTTTTAATTCACCCACCCCCTCCCCCCAGCCACACACACATTCCCGGGTATCTGCCCAATTTCTCTTTTCCCATCTTTTCTGTCGGTGAACTTGTGCAACATGGCCTCTGAGGTTCTTGTCTAATTCCTTATTTCTCTCCCTGTCTCAGAAAAGATGATTCCTTCAGCCTCAAATCTGGCGTCATCTTTGGAGCCCTGGATTCGTTTCCCCATCTGCTGTCTAGAGTCCTTGACTCAGTTTGCTCACTGAGACCTCAAATTCATCCTACCCATATCCTTCTTGGCCTTCATTCATGATCCAACAGGTCACTCCGGCTAACCATGTCCACAGCAGTGACTTTCAGTGGGGGTAGGTACGGGGCTTCTGGGCCCCACTGAGAATATATTTTGCATTTTAAACATATATTTTACATGTTAGCCTTCACTCTCCGGTAGCCTAGAACTGTAAATTCAAAACCCCTTTCTCTAAAAATGTCTCAAAGGTCCATGTCAGATTTTCTCCCTTCGGCTCTTCCTGCACGGATGGAAGACTTCTTTAATTGATCTCCTGATGTTGGCGGCTCTTTTTTAGGTCCAGAATCATTCTGTTGCTCAAGCCCAGGGTGGAGCATGCAGTTCTTCACCTCAGAAGCCTCCAGTGGCTCACTAGTCAAGTCCCAGTGGCCCAGTGCAGCGTCAGAGTGCTCCGCCACAGGGTCCAGTGCTCCCCTCCCAGGCGAGTCTTCTGTGCTCACGTGCTGCCGACTGGGGCTCTCCATTCCCTGCTCGGGCCCCAGCCACACCGCGGTACTCACCCTTAGCTGAGCCTTTCTCTCAGGGTGCTCACTGCACAGTAGTTCCCTCTTTGAATGTGCCTGCTACCAATCTGCATCTCCAGTGAGCACATCTGCATTTCCCCGTCTGGGATTACCCACCTTTTCCCTTGAGCTTCTGTGGTGCCGTAACTGCATGTGGACTCATTGTGGTCTTTGTCCCCTATTCGTGTGCAGCTTCCAGAGAGGTGAAGTGGACGTTGAATGAATGACTGACTAAGTGAACAAATGAATCCACTGCTCAGGATTTCAGTCCTCTCAAGAGCTCCCAAGTGCTTAGGGATCCCAGAGGACTGGTAGGGTGCTGGATGAAACCTTTCATTGCCCTGGGGTTGATGAAGCTCATTTACATTGAGGCCTTTCCCTTCTCGCTCCAGAGCCCCCCTTCCTTACCATTCTCACTGCTGGGGCTTGATGTCAGCCTTTGAGGAATTCCATTCAGCCTGGCGGACAGGGGCGCTGTAGCAGAGCCCTTGAAGTGCCAGTTTGGAGGCTGCCCACCTGGGTTTCAGTCCCAGCTCTGCTCCTGCTTGCTGGTGGAGTGATGAACACTGTGGGCAGGGCATCTATCCTCCCTCTGCCTCAGTTTCTTCATTCTTTTTCAACAGGGAGCCTAACTAGTATTTACCTCTTAGGATTGTAGTGAGGGTTAGTTACAAAATAATCCTTGCAGAGCGCCTAGCAAAGCGCTTGGCACATAGCAAGCGCTCAGTAAGTGGACCAGCTGCTGTATAAGCTGCTGCGAGGTTCTTGTAAGCTTTTAGGGCAAAGCTTATTAGCTGGCAGCACCTGTACCAATTATAGCCCGTGCATGAGTGTGGGTTATTTCTCTGGGTTTATGATTTCTCTTGAGTACATTCGAAGACCTGAGGTATAAATACAGTGGTTTAGAGTATGGAATCAGAAGCCATACTCAGAACTACAGTCCCAGTTTTGCTAGTCACAAGCTGTGTGACCCTGTGCAAGTTACTAAACCTCTCTGATTCTCAACTTCTTTATCTCTAAAATGGAGATAATAATAGCACTTTCTAGGCTTCTTTGGGTTACAAAATGAGATATATGCTGCTTTCGTTGCTGCTGCGGCCAGTTTTATTACTACTTTTGTTACTAGCCGGCAACCCTGACCTGAATTCCCACCTAGGGAACAGTTGGCACTGACCAGCAGATGCCACTGTGAAGTGTTGCTGTTGTTGTTGGGTGCCGTGGAGTCAGTTCCGATTCCTAGCGACCCTGTGTAACAACAGAACGAAACACTGTCTGGGCCTGCGTCATCCTCACAGTCGTTATGCTGGAGCCCATTGTTGCAGCCACTGTGTCAGTCCATCTCTTTGAGGGTCTTCCTCTTTTTCACTGTAAAGTGGGGCATGACATTTCTAGGTGGTCATAATCCCTGCAGCCCCGGTCACCTTTCAGCCATCCTGCTTTTGTTAGTAACCATTTATTTCCTTTGTGTCTTGATGGCATTTGGGCTGCCCCCTCCCGCTTTGTGCCCTTAGACACCTCCTCTTGGACATTCTTGTCCAGGAGGGCCATGTGACCCTCAAGGAACATCTAGCACTGTGGTTCTTAACGTGTGGTCCAGATGTGTAGCAGGAGTGTCACCTGGAAGCTTGTTGGAAAGCAGAGTCTCAGCTCTTACCCAGACCTACTGGATCAGAAACTCTGGCGTGGGTGCAGCAATCTGTGTTTCAAGAAGTGTCTCGGGTCCTTCTGATGCCCAGCAAAGTGTAAGAGCCACTCATTTAACACATGTGTTTAGTATCTATGTCACCTCCATTTATAAGTTAATGTGTTATGTTTCTAGGTGTTTCAGATGGCTCGTGAGTTCTGCATTTAGGAGGACCACTGTCCGCGAAACCTGGGTTTCCTTAGAGATTAGGAACTGCTCGTCTGGGCTTTGCTGCTCTGGAGGTTTTGTTCTGTTCAGATCCGTGTGCATTCTGAGCTAGTAAATTGCTGGAGATGAACAGCTCACCTGGGGATAACCGATAGACATTTTTAGAAAGATGACTTTAGAAGGGTATGGAAGGAACCACTTTTCAATGGATATGGAATATATGAAGGAATGGAATTAAGATGGAATAATTTTTTAATAAGTTTATCAGCCTTCTAGCTTCTGTAAGTTGGGAATTCACAGTGCTTCTCTGCCTTCCCCCTTTCCCTTTACGTTAATTTTCCGTGGTTTCTCAAGAGTTCTTCTCCGTGGGTGACACCAATACCTTCATCCCCCCCAGATGCAGAAGACCTTTTCCTTTTAGCCATTAAAAGTAATTACGTTTTAACTTTCGACAAAAAGTCATTAATCATTTTCTGAGCTCACTACTCTATCAAAGCTGCTTTTTTTTTTTTTTTTTGCCCCCTTCTTTGTGCTATTTATGGATATGGTATAGTATCCTTGAAGCCCTGGTGGTGCAGTGGTTAAGAGCTCGGCTGTTAACCAAAAAGTCGGCAGTTCAAATCCACCAGCTGCTCCTTGGAAACCCTACAGGGCAGTTCTGCTCTGTCGTCTCGGCTCGCTGTGAGTCGGAATGGACTCAGCGGCAGTGGTTTTGGTATAGCATCCGATTCCGTAGCTTATTCTAGAATTTAGTTTTGTGATTGCTAGTTTGGGAAATATTCTCAAATAGTTGCTTTTAATTTTGTGAATCTTCTTTTAAGATATCTCTATATATCTCCTCTCTAAGTTCTGGGTAGATTATTTTATTCTGCGCATCAGACGCTATGTTGCTGACTGTGAAGTTACTATCATGGAATCAAGTATTTGTACTGATGGAGGACAGATTTTCTATTGAAATTTTAACTTGAAAGATCCCTGTTTTCAAAAAAAAAAAATGTTATACATTAGCAGTACCTACATGTAGAAAAAAATCATTAGAGGTGAAATCCAAAGGTTACACCACTGAGCATAGCTCACTCGTATTTAACAAGAGTGGCTCAGATGCAACCACTCGTAATACAGTATGACCGTCTGCTTGTGACTGTGTAACGCACTTAACGCAGGTCTTGTGGATTAATAATATCCCTAATAGTTACCGTGATTTAATTCTTCTATTTGAGTGAATGAAAATCAGACATCAAGAGGACTTTCTAAAGGACGTTCCAGAGATTTTAATAAGCTACCATTTCACATTTTACTTAACAGAAAGCAGCAGTGCATAGCTGAAGCACTGTGTCAATAGCTTTAAAACGGAAATGTTGACAGACATTAACCCCCAAGCTATACATGCACCGCTTAGTAACGCTACTTCCTTCTTAAGTATTCACCATAGACCCCAGGACACTTCCTTCCCGAAACCCCTCTGTGGGAGGGTAAGTGAAAAGAACTTGAGCTTTCATTTCAAGGCATATGTATCATCTTTTGATACTAAAAACAGCAAAGAGACTGGGCTTTTCCTCTTGTTTCCTTAATATATAAAAGTAAAACCAGTTTATTTCATCAAGCGTTTATTGATGGCGTGATGAGATACAGTCTTCCCTCCATAAGACACACGGGTCATTTAAAGCCTAGCCAGGTGTATGAGCAAGGAATTACAAAGCAGTGTGATAAGTACAATAATTAAGGTGTGAGAGCATATAGAAGAGGGAGTGATTGGGTTTGAGGTGGTGGTGGGAGGTTGGTGACGTGAGACTCCATGGGCTAGTTGATGGCCACGTAGGGTTTTGTGGATGGATAGGAGTTTCTGTGTGTGTCACGTGCAGTGGCTCAGGGGCAGAAAGGGGCATGGTGTGTCTGGCAGTTACACATTTATACAGGAGTGTAAAATTGAAGGGGTGGAAGGGCAGTGAGGAGATGAGACAAGAAATAGTAGGCAAATTCCAGGGTCCCCAGGACCTTTGAGGACATGGAAGGAGGCCTGGGTTTCACCTTATGGTGGTGTTGGAGCTGGTGGCGTATTTACAGAGCATGACCACTCTATGCGTTTTTCTCTAGAGGATATAAACCAGTACCCACAATTCCACAATCCCAGATAACCTTATATTAATTACATTTTTTTTCTTTTTTTAATTGCACTTTAGATGAAAGTTTACAGAACAAACTAGCTTCTCATGAAACATTATGACATTGGTTAACAACCCTATGACATGTCAACAGTCTCCCCCTCTCGACCTTGGGTTCCCTGTTACCAGCTTTCCTGTCCCCTCCTGCCTTCTAGTCCTTGTCCCTGGGCCGGTATACCCCTTTAGTCTCATTTTGTCCTGTGGGCCTGTCTGATCTTTGGCTAAAAGGTGAACCTCTGGAGTGACTTCATTATGAGCTAAAAGGGTGCCTGGGGGTCATACTATTAGTTACATTTTTGAGCCACAAAGGGATCCAGGAAAAACAGTAGAGATAAGTACAAATAGGTCACCATCTTATGAAAAGTCTGCCAAAATGAATGATTCTGGGTCAGCAGTTCCATGTCTCTATGCACTCAGATTGGGAGAACAATGACACATTCTATTCGAAACCCTTGGAGTCCATGGTTTGTGAGGAGTATTGTGGGAGATACCAAGTAAACATGCCATATTGTCTGTCTTCAGGAAACCTAACTCTCTTTCGGGGTTGCAGTCAAGAAAACAGCTGACCAGTAAAGGGAAATGCAGTGAGGGCTCTACAGGTACCCAAACAGTGGGAGAAGTCATTATTTTCAACCAGGGGTATGGGATAGGGCAGTAGGGCTGTGACCCAGGAAGGCCTTGCTAAGTGTGTGGCATAATCAGCTGCCATTAGGGTATTAGCTAGGCAGAAGGAGAATCCAAAGAGTAATAACGTAGCATTACAGCCCTTGAATTGTACACAGTCTCGCATGCCAGCAGAGTACTATAATACAGTATTTTATGTGCTCTAGTAATGGTGCTTACGTCTCCTGTAGAGTATTGAGATTATGGGGAAGAGGCTCTTTGTAATTGGAAGGAGAGAACTTTTTGGCATCCTTCGGATTCCCCGTCTCTTCATATCTAGCATCCCTTCAACCATTAGCTTCAGCTTTCATCAAAGGACCTTGGAGGGTATTATTTGATTGTTTGTTTAAGGAACAAGTATCGTGACATTTGTGGGATACTAAAGCAGTAGTGTTGTTTGGATTATGTGTGTAAAAGAATGGGAGAAGGTGTTATAACACATAGACACACACACATACACACAGAGTTGCTGTTGAGTAGACCCTGGACTCATGGTGACCCCATGTGTGTCGGAGTAGAACTGTGCTCCATAGGGTTTTTCAATAGCTGATTGTTTGGAAGAAGATCACCAGGCCTTTCTTGGAGGCAACTCTGGATGGACTTGACCCTCCAACTTTTTGGTTAGCAGCTGAGCAGATTAACTGTTTGCACCACGCAGAGACTGTGAGGTGTTTAGGGACATACATTTCCCCATACCATATCTTTTCCAAATTGGAAGCCAATGCTCTTGTAAAGATGACCTCTAGTGGCTGTTTACTTTCCATTGCAGTCTCTTAATGGTAACTCATTTCACTTAAGAATATCTAATTAAATCAAGTGTTGGTGCACGTATGGATAGGTACAGGCATATTTGTATATGAGTCGGTACAGATGTGTATATAGGTGGGAACAGGCTGAAGTATCTATAGGTTCGTATAAACACAAACATGTGGGTGCAGGCACATATATTCATTGAAGACACAAATACAAATACTCTTCAGACATAACCAAACACCTTCCAGGATTGGTTTTCTGCGTTTGAAAGCTTTAGACCATACTCTCATCAGACAACTCAGTCAATCGGCATAACATAGTTCAAGAAAATCATGATCTGCTTCCTAGTGAAGTGAGTAGCATCTGGGGTCTTAAAAGCTTGGGAGCGGCCATCTAAGATACAACTATTGGTTTCTACTTGCCAGGAGCAAAACGGTAAGAAGGTAGCCGAAAGCTCAGAGAAGAAACAAGTCTACACGAGCCACAACCTCATCTACGCTGAGACCAGAAGAAGATGGTGCCTGGCTACCACCACTGACCACTCTGACCGAGGTCACAAAAGTTGGTGCTGGATAGTTTAGGCGAAAAATATGGAACAAATTCTAATTATTATATTAAAAAAAAAAACAACTAGACAAACTGGAACAGTAGAGAACAGACGACTCCCTGAGACTATCTCCCTGAGACACTCTTTAAACGCAGAACTTAGCCTATCCCCTGAGATCACCTTTTAGCAGAATAGCAGAGTGGCACACAGAATAAAGGACATTACCCGTAAGATCTGTGCTCTACTTAAAAACCATCTGTATGAGATCCAAAGGTCAACAATTACTTAAAAGCCAAGATGAGAAGATAAGGGGGCAGGGAAACTAGAGTACTGGAAACAGAACACAAAGAGAATGTTCACACATTGTGGTAAATGTAACTAATGTCACTGAACAATTGGTGTGTAAGTAGTCGATTGGGAAGCCAACTGGCTGGGGTAACTTTCACCAGCAACTGAATAAAATATTATTTTTTAAAAATCTGTATCATTCTTTTTGTACGCCAGGATAATAACGTGCAAGAAAGCATTTGTTCCGATTGTTTTTCCTTTTATCATTGAGATTTGATTTGCAAGTAAGTTATGTTCTTGAAGCCTCCCCAGTCAGTAGAAGTTAACCATGTATAAAGTTGTCAGCTTAGGATTATATTATATGTCTGATTACTGTGACTTTCTTGGCTGGCCACTGTGGCCCTTCTCCTCATACATGGTAGTCTTTCTGTGAATTTTTTACATAAGAATATGTATATTAAGGGAACCATACAAATGTTAGTTGTTGCCAAAAAGAGAGTTGTTTCTTTTGCGATGAACAGTTGATTTTGCAGTTTACAGTCAGTCTTATTGTTGGTTTGACTGTGAACATATGGAAGCTTGGCAAAATGAAACGGGACAAAACACACGACGAACACAGCCACCACAATAAACACTTTACCTTTTAGCTTTTTGTTGCTTCTGCTGTCCTTACTTTTGGATTTTCTATAAGAATCATATACTTTTTTTGTAATCACCGCATAGAACAGAAGCATGAGAACGAAAACAGTCCAGAAAATAAACTGGGATATGTAATTCGCCACTTGATGCCACGTCAGCCCCAGAGGACTCTTCAAAGCAGCACACTTCTTCACTGATAACGGTGTTGCCTTCTTGTTACTTAAGAACGTGTTTGGCAAGGAGATCAGGAACAAAAGGAGCCAGATGAGGGCTGAGACCACTTTTGCAAAAATCGGTTTCTGTACGAAAAACTTTCCAGTAGGTCTGACAATCTTGAAGAATCTGTCAAAGGCGATGAGGCCAAGCAGTGTGATGCTCACGTACATGGTGTCATAGAAGACAACGGCTGAGAAGCGACAAACGAAAGCTCTGAGTTGCCAGAGTCCAGGGTACGAGTCGGAGAGGATTTTGAATGGAAGCATGAGTGCCATTATCAAGTCAGCCATCAGAGTGTTTTTGAGGTAGACGATGAAGGAGGAGGAGCTGGGCGTGTGAATGAACACCCACAGGGCCAGAGCGTTCAGCAGGATGCCCATGAAGAATACACCAGTGTAGAGGGCTGGGAACACCAGCTGTGTTATCCGCGTGTCTCTGGGGCACCGCTCAGATCCGTTGAGGTCCTTCTCTGTTGTGGTGTTCATTGTTTCTAGTGTCAGCTGTTACAAATAAATATGTACACATACAACGTCAAACAAAAAATACTTCATGATTTGGAAATGCCATATATTTTTTTAAACACACTTTAAGTTAGCTATGAGTTGGAATCGACTCAATGGCAACAGGTTCGGTGTTGTTTTTTTTTGGATTTAGTTTGTAACATATTAACACCTTGCATTTATTCAGCAAGTTCAGTAGGTCTGTTGAGAAGGCACATGTTGTTTCTAGCTGGAATTTTTAAAGCACAAAATACAATTTTGGTACTTTTTACAGTATCATGACTTTCACACCTTTATGAAATCCAAATCACAGGTTCTGCCCCATTCACAGGAGCTCTGGTGGCACAGTGGTTAAGACCTAGGCTGCTAACCAAAAGGTCGGCAGCTCAAATCCACGAGCACTCCTTGGAAATCCTATGGGGCAGTTCTACTCTGACTTACAAGGTCGCTGTGAGTCGGAATTGACTTGATGGCAGTGAGTTTGTTTTTGTTTTTTTTTGTTTTTTTTTAGCCCCATTCACAAGAGCTACTTTTCATGACAGTAAAACAAAACTCCAGTGAAGAGGTAACAGTATATTTCAGATTGCTATACTATACCCTATGGCTGTAGAATGTTAATTTTATAACTTTTTTTTCCTTAAGCATATTCCATCTTTTATAAGCAAACCCACTCATAATAAAAATAAAAATGGAAATTCACCTTTGTTTGGAAGGAGACTCAGCTCTGTGTCCTCTGATTGCAGCATTCATTAGTTCAACCCAAGAGCGTTTGAAGCCAACTGTCATTGTTCTGCTTTTTTACAGTGGATTTCCTTCCTCATTTTCAAGCGTGTAATGTGATCCATTTGAACGTCTTCATATTCAAAATTTGGGGGATTTCCTGATAAAGAAGCTCTTTGAGTTCAAATTTATGTATTGTTAATCTGCCATACTTGAATTGCATGAGATCATTTGCAATTAATTATCTTTATCCTATTTTCTCATATAATAACTTGCCTGCAATTTATCTTCTCTATCTGTACATTCAACCAACATTTTTCAATGCCTCTTATATACCGTAATAGTAGGTAGAAAGATAAAGAAAATAACCCCAAATTATAACCCAGTAAAAGAGTAAGACTTGATTCTAAAGTCTGGCAGAATCATCTTCTGCCTCCTGGTCGACTGGTTTTTCCAGGAATTTGTGTTAGAAAGGATGGCCTGTTTATTTCTGTCGACAGTGTTCTCAGTCTCTTGGTCCTTGGATGCCTGAGGGATAAAATGACATGTTTTCTAAGAGGTAGGGCCTGTTAGAGCCAGACTTTGGGGTTAAAATCTCAGATCCACCATTTATCGGCTACTTGATTATAAACCCATTGCCATCGAGTCAAATTCCAAGTCATAGCAACCATAGAGGACAGAGTAGAACTGCCCTGTAGGGTTTCCAAGACACATGATTTAACAGGTCTGTGCCACAGTTTCTTCCTCTGTTCCTCATCTGTAAAATGAGTTTAATATAGTATCTACCTAAGAATGTTACTGAAAGGATGAACTGAGTTGAGAACAGTGTTGTCTATATACGAAGTACTCAAAATTGTTAGCCCTTCACAGCTATGGCCAGTGGATTGCAGATATAAAAGAAGACTAGTTCACTTATTAGAAAACCATTTTTGGAAATCTCTTCTGCATTTTATGTTGTATGCCAAGTGCAGAAGGCTTCAGGGGTTTCATCAACCAACCTTGGAGTGTTTCCGTTAGATCACTTCAAGTTTGGAAAGGTGTCATTGCTGCCTTCATGTAAGAGAATGCTGTTGTCCATGACAGAAAGGCCACCTTACCAGGCAGTTAGAGGGAGAAGTGGACATTTGGAAATCTCATAGCAGACGTGGAGTTCCCAGGGTGAGTTTCACTTCCTATTTCTTGCTCTCTGGCTTTCCCAGAGAGCTAGATCAGATTGTGGAGTTGGCTTGATTGAGAGTTAATAAAAATAACAATATGGAGGAATGATTTTTTTGAATTGGTTTGGCTCGGGATTCAGAGAATAAAAACTCCACATCTGCCTGGATGTTTTTAAATATGAAGCAGTACAATGCTTGATGATTTTGGTTGGCTCGACGTGATGTTGGAGCAGTGGTTAAGAGCTCATCTGCTAACCAGAAGGTCGGCAGTTCAAATCCACCAGCCACTCCTTGGAAACTCTATGGGGCAGTCCTACTCTGACCTGTAGGGTCACTATGAGTCGCAATCGACTTGAGGGCAGCGGGGCAGGGGCTACACAATGTTGGCACAGTTTGAAAAAATCGATATTTGACTCAAATAAATTGATTCTAGGAAATACGGATTCTAGATTTCATTACTGTAGTGGAACATAATTTAAACATGTATCTTCTTGCTTGCTTCAGCAGAGAAAATATGAAACAAGCAAACTTATTTTTTTTTTTTTTTTAAGTAGAGGGGTTTATCCTCCTAATTAATTGTCAGCCTCCCTACAGCTCCAAACCCATCATCTGGATGGAGGTTTGGAATAGTTTCATTTTAAACAAGGGAAGTGTTGTACAAGATAATTTCATAATTTGAAAGCTGGAAATCACATTTTGGTCAAATTTCAAAATGCCACAGTGTCAGAAATTCTAAAAAAAGGAACTGATTTACGGTGCCCATTTTTGGAGTTAACCGAAGCTTATTCTTTTAAATGCAATAGGTTTCAAAATGCTTGACTATAGTAAATACCCAACCGGTCATTGATTTTCTCAGTGTTCATACTTAATTGTGCATTGACCAACCTGCCCTTAGCTCACAGCAAGGCCGGTGCCATGCAGCCCCCAACCCCAAGTCTTTTGCCCTGGAGAGCACATCTCAGAGGCTGCCACCCAGCAGATCAGTCACTAGCACCTACCTGGAGCCAAAATGCATGGGTTCAGTTCCTTATTCCAACACTTTCTTATCTTATGATCTTGAGCACGTTATTTAAGCTCTCTGTGACTTGGTTGTCTCCTCTTTACAAGGAGAGTAAATCGTAGTGTCTACTTTACAGAGTTTAGACAATGATATGAACATTCTCCAAGTACTTACACCAGTGTCTAACATATGGTAGGTGCCATGCAAATTTCTTGTTAAATAAAATTAAAACTGGAATACCTTGTACACCTTGTGGAATAGCTTACAAAAGACAGGCGGGAACCAAAGAAGATAGAGTGGAAGGTCACAGAAATTAAGAAGCCTTCTAAATTAAAAAAACCCAAACCCATTGCCGTCCAGTCGATTCCGACTCATACTGACCCTGTAGGACAGAGTAGAACTACCCCACAGGGTTTCCAAGGCTGTAAATCTTTATGGAAGCAGACTGCCACATCTTTCTTCCGTGGTGCCACTGGTGGGTTTGAGCCACCAACCTTGTGGTTAGCAGCCAAGCGCTTTAACCACTGCACCACCATGGCTCCTTTTAAAAAGTCTGCTAGATGGGAATAAATTAAACATTTAAGATCCTATCTGATTCCAAAGGAATATAATCAAAATCAATAAATCTCACTAGCTGTACTGTGTTAAGGTGATTCTGTTACCTTATTTAATCCTTACAACATCCCTTAGAGGTCTCTCTCATTTAACAGGTGAGAATATTGAGACACAGAAGTTAAGCAGCTTGCCCAAAGTCATGCAAGTCAGGCAGATCCACCCAGTCTGGCCACATCTTTCTCCCACGGGGCCCTGGGTGGGTTTGAACCACCGACCTCTCGGTTAGCAGCCGAGTGCTTAACCACTGTACCACCAGGGCTCCTTTGAATGTAATGGGTACTCCATAAATACTGATCTCTCAGTCTGTCTTGAATGGGTTCATTTTGATGTTTGATATAGGAATAGATGGTGTCTGATATCTTTGAAAAAAGCAGTCCCAAAATAGTATAATTTAAGCATTTAATGTAAATTTTTCATGTTGTGTATCTGTCTATCTATATCTATCTTTCTATCTATCTCTCTGTTTGTCTATATACACACACTATAAAAACACAGGTAATTTCAAATACTTTAAAATTTTTATACAAAAATAGTTTAATATCCTTTAGCATTTCTGTTTATTCTCTCCCTGTAGAAATTGTCATCTCTGTGAATTAATTTAGTCTAAAAAGACAGATTATTGAGGAAATCTGGCCCTTTGCATCAAAGAAAACCTTGGCCCACCCTTCAGTCCCCCAACACCTGTGATGTTAGTTTTAATCCATTTTCTACCCTTGACTTGGACCGGTTGAAGGTCAATCTGCCCTTGCTTTTTCTCAGATGTGAAGTCAGAAAGTTCGATTAGTTGATCTCTAGTTTTTCTTCCAGCTGAACTATCCTGCTCTTCTTACAGAACAGGCGCACTTGTGCATAAGACATTGCAGTTAACTCTGTTAGTCTACGTGGCAGCAGAGGCTGATGCTCTTTTTCCAGGCAGTACGTAGAATGTGCATCTTTTCAGTGTGGATTTCTGTGTGCATCTCCACCGACGTAAGGTGCTTGCTCACAGCAGTGGCAAGGGGATAGATACACCATTTAGACAGTTAAAGGAGTTCAGCTTTGTACTGAAATTCAGCTCAGCAGAAGTTGTGGTGGAGGGTTTGGATGAGATTATTATTGAGGTTTGGTGAATATCTTTATACTACAACTCACGCTTTTTATTTCTGCTGGCATTATATTTAGATTTAGTATCTATGTCTTCTGTTGGAGTGTCACCTCTGAGGATCATAAATAATGGAGATCAATGCTATCAAATTCCAAGCGTGTTATATATTTTGCTTATATTGAAAATACAGAGTGTGGTTTGTGTGGAATCAGACTACATGTTGTAAGTCTGATCTATTTTATTTGCATGTGAACTTCTTGATGCGAGTTGTCAGCTTCAGAAGAGACTTTGCACAGTAGCGTGTAATAAAACAGTGTTGGCAGCTGTGCTTTCTTAAATGCATTTGAGGTCGGAGTGTATAGGGAAGAGAGTCATGCTATCCAACGCAGTAAAACCTGTGAATGCTGGAACCTCTGTAAGGTGGACACTTGTGGGAGAAGGAAAACTCAAATATTGTCCACTAAAAGGAGAGATAGAAAAGTGGTAAGACTGCACCCTGTCAAAGGCAGAAAACTCGCGAAACCCAGAAAATCAAGGCAGTCCCATCGAGTTCCAGCTCTCATGGGTTCACCGTATCTTTGAACAAAGAAATTCCAACGAAGTGTGATTTAGAGTTTAATGTAAATTTTTCATGTTATACATGCATACATACAAACAGGCAGTTCCAAACACTTGAATTGCTTTCCTCTTAAAAGTTATGCTGTGTTACTGCATAATCATATTTAAGTCATTTTTCTCGCTAAGGGAAATGTTCACTGACCTAAGTAGCAGGTATTTTCTTGAAGCCAGTTAATAAAGGTAAATGTCAATAATGGTGTTGTAGCCACTAAAGTTGTCAAAGTAGTACTAAAACCAGTTTCACCAGTGTTAAGGAAATAGTCAGAATTTTTAGTATTAGAATATCATAAAAATAAGTGTCCTTATTTTAGTGACTCCTTTTGCTATTTCTGCTGTCTTTACTGGAAAGGTGTTCTTGAAACCTCTGTCTTGTTAATGAACATGTAAAAAACTCAGTCCAGTAAAAAACTATGCCAGTTAGTTTAAGTCCCAAGCCCTGGTGGCACAAGAGTTAAGTGCTTGGCTGCTAACTGAAAGATTAGCGGTTCAAACCCATCAGTGGCTCTGTGGGAGAAAGTCCTGACAATCTGCTCCTATAAAGATCACAGTCTAAGAAGCCCTATGGGGGCAGTTCTGCTGTGTCACATGGGGTCGCTGTAAGTAGGAAATCAACTCAGCGGCACCTAACAACAACAGGATTTTACTGGTAATTAAAAGTTAGCAGTCATTCTTTGGCTTTGGATTCCATTTACCTACGTTTCTGTAATAAGTATCACAGTAGGTCAGCATTTCATTAAGGAACTAAGAATAGGATGTGTAATTATTTGTCTAAGGATTATATCAGATTGATCATTGTTTCTTAGTTGAGTCTTAAAAAAAATAGGATTATGATCAGAAATGTATTTAAAGAACCATAGTCAATATTTTATCGACACCCTCCCCGCAAATCATAAATTCTGTGTAGTTTTGCACGCAGGATGGCAGTTGGATACAATTTGTTCTTCTACACAGCTGCATGTTGGTCACTTTTCTACAATTTAAGATAGCTTTTCTACTGGAAAAGGAAATGAAAATTACATTTGCGATCTTCGACTTATTGTTTCAAGAGTCTTTGCTGTTAACTCAGTCACTTCTTAATCAGCGTTAATCATTTTGTATAGTGCTTTCCATTTGGGAGTTCCAAACACTGACAGAGTGAAATGTTTCCTCAGTTTACGTGTTCACATTGGAGTTTCTACGAATGGGGTACCACCATCCTGCCCGTTTTTCCTCTTCTCTTGGGCTGGAGATGTTACCGAATTGGAGCACTTCAACATACTCATCAAGGAGTTTTTGAAGGACTTGCAAAGGAAAAAGTAGATGAAGGGATCCAGGCACGCGTTTAAGGAAGTTAGCCACAGCATGCTCTCTTTCACATAGAACAGGGTATTCTCAGCAGTACAGTCAAAGACATCACGGGTTTGGCTGAGGGTGTAAGGAATTCGGGCAAAATGGAAAGGCACGAAACAAATAAAAAACACAGCAATGATAATGAAAACTTTGACGTTCACCTTTTTCTTGGGAACTTTGCCCACCCCCCTTGTTCTGATGTATGACCTGTATAGTTCTTTTGTGATGAGCGTGTAGCATACAATGATAATTAAAAAATTAATCCAGAAAATGACTTGACAGATGTAATTGACTATTTCATGCCAGACCAGGCCAAACTCCGATTTGAGGAAAGAGCATTTCTTCACGTTCTCTCTCGGCTTCTTGTTGGTGAGGATCATGTTGGGCAGAGAGATTAAGAACATGAACACCCAGATGACAGCAGAAAGAACCTTGGCCCCCAAGAGATTGTTGGGTTTGAATGTTTTAAATGGCCTGGTGGTCTTCTGGTAGCGGTCGATAGTTATCAGTCCCAGGAATGAGATACTGATGTACATCGTGAAATAAAATATGACGGAGGTAACTTGGCACACGAAGGCCCTCAGCGACCCTGTCCCCAGTTCAGCATCACTCAGGATTTTGAATGGAAAAGTTAGAATCATGAGAAGATCGGAAATGACTGTGTTCTTAAGAAAAATAATGAAGTTGGATTTACTGCGGATTTGAAAGAAAATCCTCATTGCCAGGCTGTTTGTGATGAGTCCAATGAAAAACAGGACAGTATAGAGCAGCGGGAAGAGGACCTGGTTGATTTTGTAATTTCTGGTGCAGACACTGCCGTTCCCGGCCGCAGTGGTGAGGTTGTCCATGGCTTCCGTTTCTTTTTTGCTTCCTAGAGAAGGAGGAGGGGGGTGGTTATTGTCAGGTAGCTGATTCTGCTGTTCTCGCCATATGTAAATTTTTTGGACACTCCTCACACCCCTCCTCAAAAAAAAACAAAAAAAAACCCAAAAAACAAACCCATTGCCATCAAGTTGAGTCCGGCTCACAGCGACCCTATAACACAGAGTAGAACTGTCGTATAGGGTTTCCAAGATGTGGCTGGTGGATTTGAACTGCTGACCTTTTAGTTAGCAGTCATAGCTCTTAACCACTGTGCCACCAGGGCTCCACTTTCTCTAAAAATTGCTGTTTCTGGTCATCGTGTGGCAGTTAGTAGGAGCACAGAAAATCGAATCTCAAAATATTTCATCTTAGCAAATATTCCACCTCAAGCAAAGCATAGTGGTCTGAGGTACAGTATAGGAAGGTATGGCTGCTTTGTAATTCTTGTTATTGGTTGATGGCTTGCCTCTCATAGCACGTTTTTAACCTCAGGTGAAAGCCCACCTGCATTTATGTATCGATGCCAGAGGAAAACGTTCGGGACTGTGTTTTAACCTTCTCCACCTTCATTTCCATACCTTTAAAGTGTTTTGTTCTGTCCACTCAGGTTCCCTACACCGTCCTTGTCCCTAGCGTCCATTTATTCTAGTGCCGTTAAAGGCTTCCTAGGAAAAAAGACTGACAACTGCCTTTCAGAATTTTAAAATAAAAAGTGGAAGGAAATTGGTGTCAAATCAACGTTGGTAAGTTTATTGTTAAATAAATGAAATGCTGACTAAAAAATACTTTTCTTCATAGTTGGAAGATGTTCCTGCCTCTGTTTTGCTCAGTCACCCTTCATAAATCAGCTTCACAGGGTCATTTTTTAGCTGCAAGTATTTTAACCTGTGGCTGTCTCATTCCCTACAGTGTGCAGTATATTTCTACATTTTATGAAATATCGTTAAGTCTAATTTTAGCACAATAAAAGAAATCAGCTGGCATTCCTCAAGACAGCGGGGGATATCCTTTCTAGGTTTCTGGAGTGTAATTGTAGCTAAAATACAACAGCAAAGCCATGTCCTTGTCTGGTTTTCTCGGATATTACCAAAACAGGCAGCTAGAAAGAAAACTAAAAGTCATCTTGAATATATCATCTGGTATCTGAGTTTTGAAATTTGAAATCAAATTTTTCATCTTTATTTCAAGGACAAATGAAATTAATTTTACATAAAATATTCCAAATTATCAGATGCAGTAATGTTGATGGTACAAATAACTAAATTTAAAAAATAGTAAAAAAATTAGTAACTTCATGTAGAAGATTTAAATATGACACAGATAGTGTGTATGTATGTGTGCGCCTTCAAGTAGAACTGCCCCATAGTGTTTCCAAGGCTGTCATCTTTACAGAAGCAGATTGCCACATCTTTTTCCCTTGGAGCAGCTGGTGGGTTCGAACTGCCGACATTTCTGTTAGCAGCCGAGTGCTTTAACCACTGCGCCACCAGGGCTCCATAATGAATAAAGGTGGCACTAAATTCCGCAAAATACCAATGGAATTTTTTTTTCCATCCTTTAATTATTAATGTAAAACGAGAATCCTGTTGTCAAGCATGGCTTCAATTTTCCACACTGCCCCACCTGAGTTTTTTTTTTTTTTTAAACAAAGCAAAATAAATATTCTGTTGATACAAAATCACTAATTTTATACCTCCTTGCTACTGCTGTTTGTTCCGGGTTGTGCATTCTTTGGTAGTTTTGGAAATTCTGCTCTGAGGCTGTTCATTTGGAGGAAACGGTAACTTACTTCACAAGTATTCTGGACATTGAAAACTTCAACTCCCTCTATCTAGATTTAAATCTCATTTTACACTCTTGAGGTAGGTTAAGTAAGACACTGCTTGTATTTTATTTCTGTGCTCTTTATAATTATTTTTTTAATGAAGAACTTAATGGTTGTTTTTAACCATTAATGTGGCTTGTATTTTAATTTTTATTTCAAATACATGCTTGCATTGATATTGTTATGAAAAGTTTTCCATTTTTAAAGAAAAAAAAACTTGGAAGGAAGCTTCGACACACATTATAGTGTAAAAACATACTGGTCTATTACTTCTAGATACAAAGTTACCTGGTTCGTCTGTGTATCCTGGAGGCTTTGAATGTATCCCGTAATTGGTAATTAATGTCACCTGCAGAGTGGCAGCTGGTATTTTCCTTTACTTTTCTTGGTTTAGTTGTCAAAACTCTTTACGGTAGAGAACTCGGTGGGCTTTCATCAGTAAAGTCTTGAGTATTCTAGAGAGAGAGAGGGAAAGAGAGTGGAAGAGGCTTCACAATCAGAGGGTACATACCTTGAAACACTGTGGCGTCAAAGCTGTGCAGACACTTTGTACTTCTGTCTGGCCCCTTTGAGAACTTCTGCTTTTATTTCCCCGGGAAACGTGGGTCGTGGATGGGTGAGAAGTCATCTCTTTAAAAGCAATTTGAAATCCTGAGGCTTTTTACGGAAGGCTGCCATAGAGCTGATGCTTTATAACCCTGTGAGGTTTTTTTTCTTTGGTTATTTTCCATGCAAATAAGTACTAAGTCCAAGTTGACTGAGATCAAGTCATGGAGGTCTGCTTCTTGGGGAGGGTTGCAAGCTTGATTTTTGCAGATGATTATTAACCTGAAAACATATTTTGCTCAACAGTGGGTGATGTATTATTACCTTTTAAATAGTAATTGCATTAACTGGAAATGTGTGCCTGTTAGAGACATTGTCTCTTGCCTTTGGTTTTTTCCTTGGTTGTTAATGTCATGATTATATATCTGTGTTTGAGCAATTCCTTTGTAGATGAAACAGTTTCCTCCCATTATAAATGATCAGATTACAAAATTACATTAGGACAGAAAAAGTTGTATTTCTTGCGTTGTCAGGGTTAGTATATGAAGTGTGCTTAATGCTTTTCTTGAATAGAATTGAAATATAAACAAATTATTACTTTTTTGTTTCTTTTTCCCTAGCCTGAGGTTTTTGGGAGTCATACATCATTAAACTAAGGCATGCTTGTATCAGTAATACGTACAGTTCTTTAATCTTTAAAGGAAAAGGGGAAAGGAGATAGTAGGAATATACAGTAGTTGGAAGGAAAAACTTTTTGCTATTATGCATATAAATACTGTGTGCACACACACACTGTTTTCTAACTCTAATGTCCTCTTGTTGTAAGTAAATGACTTGGGTACGTGTCTTTGCCATGAACACGTTTCGGTTATTATTTCTTCTGAGTTTTTTGCGTATGTTTTGTTTTTTATGTCTCTGCATATGTTAAATATCTTTAATGATGATTCACAAAGTGCAGAGCAGTGCCTCAGCCTGACCTGGACACTTGCTAAAAATGCACACTCTTGGGCCTCAGCTCAGCCCCAGTGAATCAGGATCTTTGGGAGGAGTCCTTGCATCTGCATTATAATGAGCCTACAGGCCATTCTCATGCATACTAATGCATGAGAACAACTGATTTAAACAAACACGGGAATTTGTTGGCATTAAGAATTTGAAGTTAAGCTATGAAGTCCAGTCATTTAGTTGGTAATTTAGGTTTCGTAATAACCCCCATTTGTTGGCCTTCTAGAGGTGCCAGTTTGGTATTAAACCCTTGGAAAGTAGGTTTTCTTCAGTTATTTTCAAATTCAATATGGCAGTCAACTTTTCTGATTTGTTGGTTTGTTGGTTTGGAGGCACTAAATTATCCTTTTTGAAAGAATGTATATGCTATGTGCACTTCTGAGTAATAATAGCCAACATTTGATTTCTTACATGTCATGTATTAACTCACTTTATTATCTCACCTGCTTTCTGAAGCAAGTGCTCATATTATCCCCATTCTTTGGATGATGGAAACTGAGGGGCAGATCAATGAAGTAACTTTCCCAAGGACATACTGTTAATTGGAAACCCCATTCCAACCCATGCTCTCTGGTCCCAGCACCTGCATTGTAACCACCATGTTCCTTCAAATCTTTTCCGTCTCACTTACCTCCCGATCCCTGCCCCATCCCCACCTCACACCGAGGCCATGGAGAATGGATGGACTGGCTTCTTCCCAGGGGTGGCCCTGATCATGCTCCCCCAGGAGTGAGAGCTGGATATCATGTGTGGAATGTTTGCATTTCTGTCAATAAAATGAATGATACTTGCCTTTACATGATATCATAAACTCTAAAGAAGTGTTTCTAAGACCTTCAGATGAAAAAGGCTTGTGAAAGAAGAATGGTGACTATTTTCAATACTTGATATGCCATATTAATGGATAGTTAATTTAGGATACTTAAATCATACTACCTTATCGAGAATGTGTATTTCCAAATTCCTAGTAGACTCTAAATGGGAATTTGGGGGATAAAATGAAACCTATAGTTCTGTCTTCTAATTTTAACTCACAACCACACCTATTTGAGAACCATTTCTGACAATATTTTTTCATTAGAGGGTGGCTGCCAGTTACCCATTTATACCACTTTACCCTGAAAGTGACTAAAAATCGACAAGTGTCTCCCATTACAAAAGCATATTATCTTCTATATGATTATTCTATATGTAGATGAATAGAAGTAGAGCAAATTGTGCACTTTAACCTCTTGGTAGTTATAAGTGATTACAACAACAAATATGCGTAGTTGTAATATTACTATGGGGAACAGAACTAGCTTTGATTGATTTGGTTGTTTTCTATGATTGAGATGGCTTAGAAAAATGAATTAGCATATAGTCCAGGTGGTTTAATTGGCTTATTTATTTTACCAAGTCTACTCAAGGTAGTTTGCTTCTCTGAGAATATTCCCTTCGAATGGGATTACTCTGAGCAGAGAGGGTCTTTCTCTCCAATGGTAGGTCTTTGTGGTTCTTGTGGAGCTGTCATTGAGCAGAAGGAAGGAGCTATAATTAAGAGAATCAGCTAGCTCTTAGGCTATTTTAGTTCTTAAGTTTTATGATTCTAAATGTGGCCTTGGTGACATTAATGAATGTTTTGATCGAGTGCGTGAGTTCTGAAGCAGTGCTTAGCTTTACTGGTCAGAGTATGGAAATTTAGGTTAGCTAGTAAACAGATTCTAGAAGTAAGGAGTCTTGGTCATTGTTGTATTTTAGCAAAAGAGAATGCTATCTCTGGTGATCCAGTTTCTTATCATTCCTGTCTTGAGTATTTTGCTTGAAAGTAGAGGACTAGTACATATAGTTAACCCCTTGATACCCATTACACCCCTAGGATGCACCATGTTTGTTTGATACAAGTCTCATTTCAGCTGTATTGTAGACTATAATCTACTGTAGAACAAAGATTTCCTATACAAATCTAATGAAGTAAGTCTCCTATTTTCTTGATTTAAAGAAAAATTGCTCCAGTTCAGTAGTGGTTACTAATGAGAAGAAGCTACTAATTTCCTCGGTCCTTTAACACCCTTTTCACGCCCCCCCCCCCCCATTGCTTCACCCCAGCTAAAGGTGCATTTCTGAGGTAACATTTATTTGAAGTTATTTTATTATAAACATAATATTCTGGCATATTGAGTAATCCAACTGAAAGAAATAATGTTTGAAGGCATCTTTTAAGTGTTCTTTATTTTAGTAGATTAACTAAAATAAAAATTTTAGCTAAATTCATTGCTCTTGTAAACAGATTTTTCCTACATTTCCTGAAGATGAAATAGGATGCTGTGTGCAGTTTACTTCCTGATGTATTCCGGGTTTGCATTTGAATTATTAAACAGACAAAATTAAAGAGTGTGGGGAAGTATGAATATACTATAATTTGGTTTTATCAGAAGGGCAATTATGTCTACTTCATCTATTTTTCATAAGAAAAGGAAGCACATTTGGAGTGGAATTCTTTTTTTCCTCCCTTTAAGAAGAATATTAATTTACTCATTTAAAAAAATGTGATTATTGGATCACTGTAGAAATATTCGAAAACACGATAAGGTGGAAGGAGGACACGCAACTCTTATAACCTCGCCAGGATCATCACATCTTTGTGAATGCATGCACCCATCTTAGCAACGTTTCTCATCACTATTTTTAAAGAAATAAAGATGAGTTAGGGCAGACCTCAATTCAATTTACCCTATTTCTAGGGATATTTGACTCAAGAGACATACTTTAATTCTTGCCATGCGACAAGCCTGCCCTGGGTGTTTTGAACCTGTATCCTCTTATTTTCTTGATAAATCCAATTTTTGTGAATATGGGATAATACCTGGAAAAAGGAAGTAATTGATTTGGAGGGTGAGATTTTCAGAGCTCAATTTACAGGGCAGGTGACCGGATCAACCCAAGAGGAACAGCAGGCTAGCATAAAAGGTGTAGCAGTACTTCTATATACGCTCCAGCCGATTCTGCGCCTGCCCCAAAAGTGTGTCCTTTAGGGAATTAACATTAGAGTGATTCTTTGATGCTGATCTCAGATCCTTAATATAACTTACAGTTATGCAACTTGGGTGTGCCTTAATACATAGTTGAAAGAGTGGAAATCATAGGTGCATTCGGAAATAATTTGTTCCATTTTCTTAGGTGGACTTTATTCTCTGTTACCAAACCCGTTGCTGCTTGGTTTATTCCAACTCGTAGCGACCCTATAAGCAGAGTAGAACTGCCCCATAGGGTTTCCATGGAGCAGCTGGTGGATTTGAACTGCCGACCTTTTGGTTACCAGCCGTAGTTCTCAACCACTGCGCCACCAGGGCTCCATTGACTTTATTCTCGCTTAGTATAAATTGCTGTTTGAAGATTTGTACAAAAAACTGGCATAAACAAATCTTTCAGGCCGTGGAAAAACAGTAGCTTTTAAGAGGTGTCTGCCTTTTTTCTTTGAATAGAATAATACAGTAACAGCTGTCCTGGTTTCCCTAAAAGCATTAAGTGCAAGCAACAAATACTGTCTCCACACCACATACAGAGGTTGACCAATGATTCTTTCCCAGTTAACTGCTTGCTGCTCTTGCTTTTTAATTCTGTCTCCTCACAATCAACTTATGACTTTGCTTCTGGCCTGAGCATGTCAGGACCAATGAAGTGACAGAAACTTCTTCAAGTTCTTCACTACTTCACCCCCAAATTTCTCTGTATTTTTACCAATTTTCTTATGCATAAGTAGAAAGATGCCCCTTTCTCCCTTTCCAAGTTAATCCAGGCAAAAGACCATCATCTCCTGTCTTGATTATCAGTTACCTGTTCTCCAGTCTTGATTATCAGTTACCTGTTCTCCAGTCTTGATTATCAGTTACCTGTTCTCCAGTCTTTGATTTCCTTTTTGGGGACTCTTTTATTTCACCCTTGAAATAAGAGTTTGACATCGGTTATCCTAATAAAACTTTCTCTTCCCTCTCAAGCTGTCGTTCTCCGTGCCCAACTACTAGTTAATGTGGGTAACTTCCCTAGCCTTCCTCATTTCATAATCTACTCTTACTTCAACTCCTCGTTTTCTGTCCTGCCCCTTCCACATTAGAGGAACTTCCTTTTCCGTGGATTTTTAACAAACAAGTCAGAGAGAAGCTCATCCATTGTGACTTCCTAACCACACTGACGCTGCCAGTGGCCCTTTCCCCGACTTCTTCGACACTGTGACACAGGTCTTCTTATTAATTGTGGCTTATTTACCCTCCCCACTATCTCAGTTCTCCTTGCTCTTCTCCCCTCAAGAGAATATGGGGAGCTTTGTACCCCTCCCGTGACTTAACATAGCACCTGTAACCCCGAGCTTTCATCTCTGCCTTGGTCCCCACTTCAAACCACCTACTAGAATTTATATTGCATGTTCACCTACCCCTTTAGATTCTTGCATTTAAGGCGAATTCATCAGTCCTCAGACCTGCCCTTTTTAGTAACAGATTTTCTCTCGTGAGTCCATTTGGAAATCCAGCGAGATGCACATTCACTCAGATGCTTGGTCCTTTCCTAACTTCCTTCAGATACCCCTTCATTTTGCTTATTTTTCACTTTACCTCTCAAACCTAGTGCAGCTCCTATGAACATTTTTGCTCAAACTTACTATCTGCCTCTCATTTCTCCCCTTCAGTTCTCCCGGCACGTAATTATCAGGTTAAGTTTCCTACAAATCTACATTTTATTCTTATTTCCATCCCTGCTCTGTTCCTTTAGCCATGTTTGTTCATCGGCTCACTTGTTTAGCCAGTATTTAGTGTATTAAACAAATATTCAGTGGCTCCTTGGTGCCAAGGAAGGAGAATATTGACATGAACAGAAGAGATGAGAGTTCTTCCCTCTCAGAACACGTGGTCAGTGGGGAAGGCAGGCATTAAACAAATACGGGGGGAGAGAAGTGAATCTCACTGTGATAAGTGTTGCCCAGACGCTCTCCCCAACCCTGCTTCTTCTCTGGTGGGGATTTTCACTAAGCCAGGGTGACAAAGTGAGAGACCTGTACTGTGAAATTGTACCTCGCATTTCAATAAGTGAAATGGAGGTGGGTGAGAGTGTTGTAGGTAGCTGAAGGAGCGGCAGCAAAAGGAAGGCTATTCCAGGGCTTTTGGGAAATTCTGAGTCATCGAGTACAGAGTAGGCATGGGATGTGTACACAGAGAGGAGTGGAAGTCTAGAAATATGAGTTAGCAGCAGTGAGGCTGTGCCTGGGACTCTCCTAAGCATTGTACACACTTCAGCTCAGTTAGTCTCACGAAAACGTTACAGGGAAAGAGGTGTTCTTCCATTTTTCAGAGACAGAATCTGAGACTCAGAGAGGCTCATTATCAAGGATCACAGAGTTAGCAAGCAGCCGACCTGGGAGCCACTCACAGCTCTCTTACTCCCAAGCTTGGGCTGTTACTGGCACACTGTCTCCAGTAACTGTGAGGTCATAGTTGTCCTGGGTTGCTGTGATGAACACCTGGATATTTTCCAGCACACCTTCCCTCACCATCCCTTCTCTTAGCTGTGCAGATGAGGGCAGTGGTGGCACAGGGATACAATTCTCACCTCCCATGCGAGAGACCCGGGTTTGACTCCTGGCCAAAGCACCTCATGCGCAGCTACCACCTGTCTGTCAGTGGTGGTTTGCGTGCTGCTGTGAAGCTGAACAGGTTTCAGGGGGGCTTCCAGATTAAGACAGACTAGGAAGAAAGGCCTGGCAATCTGTTCCTGAAAATTACCTATGAAAACCCTGTGGATCCCAGTGGTGTGTGGACTGGCCGTGAGTCGTGCACGGACTCTGCAGCAGCTAACAACACCACTAGCTCTTCGAATACTTTTATGACACTAAATCTGAGCTCCATGAGGACAGGGGACGTTCATCCTTGTATTTTCTCAGATTTCCTAGCACATTGTCTTGCCCTGAGTTGATACTCTACAAACATCACCCCTCACACAGAAGTAAGAGCTCTGCTGCTAACCAAAAGGTCGGCAGTTCGAATCACCAGCCACTCCTTGGAAACCCTATGGGGCAGTTCTACTCTGTCCTACAGGGTCGCTATGAGTCGGAATCGACTCAACAGCAACGGATTTTTACTGGAAGTAACTGCCATATCCACAACTGGCACTGCCTGAGTTTTGTACGGTTCTCTCAGTGCCCTCTGGTTCTGTTCAAAGGGCTCCTATGTACACATCCTGCCAGACAAAAAGAAAACTACCTCGGTAATGCTTTGTAACAACAACCGAAATTGGAGGTGAACGAGCAGCTCACGTCATTCAGATGTGCAGCCAAGTACAGGAATCATTAGCCTGTGTGTGGACTTCTTCCTGTGGTTAGGTCTTTCTCGTGAGAATTTGGTGGAGGTTGGGATACTCAGGAGTCCCTGGGTGGTACAAACTGTTGACGTGCTCAGCTGCCAACCGAAAGGTTGGAGGTCCAAGTCTCCCCAGAAGCACCTTGGAAGAAAAGTCGGGCAATCTACTTCTGAAGAAAAGACAACCATTGAAAACCCTATGGAGCACAATTCTACTCTCACACATGGGGTGGCCATGAGTGGTAGTCAACCTGATGGCAGCTGGTTCTGATTCATTATGGGATGCTCAGGATATTAAATAAGAACAGCTTCTGGGGAAACTTCTCAGGGAAAATATCCTTTTTTTTCCCCCTAGGATGAAAATCTGAATGCCTCTGAAACATTAAGCATTGTTTGGGGCAGGGGAGTAAGATTGACTGGCAGGGCATACAAATGTGTATTTCAGGTAGAGTATAATTTTAAAAAAGGAAGCAGTGCAATGGGAAGTGGTGTCCTGAATGCAAGTATGTGTGAAAGACAGACTAACAAAAAAGATAGGGATGGACAGGAAAGTGTCGGAGAGAAAAAACAGGCTTCTGTTTCAAGAAGGCAGAAGCAAAATGCTGCTTTGAGAGAGTGTGCGTGTGGAGTGCTCCAAATTAAACACTGACGTTCCCCAAGTCTGAAGGTTTTTGCTCTTTGTGGTAGCTACTGCTACTTATTCATACAGTTTGTTTTGCTTGGGAAGAGTTCTTTTCTCATGTAAGCGCCTTAGGATAAAATGCTTCTAGGAAGGGTAAGTGCTTAGCATGAGAAAAGATGTACAAAGAGTGTAAAAAGGACTTGTACCGAAGGACAGAGCTGGAAATTTTACCAAGAAAACCGAAGACTATATAACGTCTGAAAGAGACATTTAGATATAAAAATTTAAAACCAGGCTTAAGAGAGAGAACGCTTCCTGGACTACTTAACGTTGACTGAGGAATGTGTTCAACAGTATGTACACGTTTCTGTTATGCTGTGACTAAATAATTTCCTCTCTTGTATGGGGAAAAAAAGTAGTGCTTGGATTCACTGTCTGTGGGCCAGGCATGTTGAGGGTGGTGGTGTCAGAACATGTTTGAATTTCCGACTATTTAGCTCACACCTGGTGATACCTACAGTCTATTATGTTGTCATTTTGAAATAGGTATAAATGCATCACACGCTCTTGTTGCAAGTCAATGGAATATCTTTTTATACTTACTTGAGGATCTTCACAAAATTTTTTTTCAAAATATACAATATTTAATATTGCTATATATATATATTTACATATATATATATACACACACACGAAACCAAGCTTATTAAAAGAAATGACATTTACCTTAAGGGAAAAGTATGACTAGGTATGTTACTTGATGTGAAATAATACCGCATAACATTAAAAAAAAAAAAAGTTTTTCAATAGCCAAAACTTACTATGTAGGGTACGCCCACATCAAATGCTTCTATTAAGACTTCAGGTCAGTTGACACTTTTTTTTTTTTACTTTAGCAAGTTCCAAACTGGAAAAGCAAGGGTGTTGCCAGCAGCGGTTGAGGTGAATTGAAAGGCGGACAGAATGCCAGCACCACAAACCAGCGTGGCAATGCTGTGGTTAGTGCATTTCATGGCCAGGAAATGCATCCCCACCCCTGCAGACAAGAGCTTCAGAATGCATCTTCTCTTTTCCAGGATGAATCTTCAAGTCACGAATGTAACCAGCGCACAATCCTTCTCTATGGAGTCGGTAAAGAGCGTGACGAAGCGAGGCATCAGCTGAAGAAGATTACCAGAGATATCCTGAAAATCCTAAACAAGAAGAGCACCACAGAGACCGGGGGTAAAGAGCCTCCCTGCGTTTGCTCCCACTGTATGTCGTGCGTCTTCCCTCTGAGCAGAGCCTTCACCAAAGTGGTGTATGACACTGTTACCAGAGGGTTTCCTCTCCTGAATGACTGTGACAGTCACACATGAATAAGCACTTATGTGGCCATTTAAGTTTTAAGGCCTTGTTTCCGGTTATAGTAATGTCTGTATGAAAATAGCATACTCTGTAGATAGACGTAGGTAATTTTTATTCCTTTTCTTTTTTCATGCTTCCCAAATTTTGTACTGTATCAATAAATGAAGTACTGAAGAATGAGTTGGAAAACCCTTAGTTTAGAAGAGGTCCATTTCCCATTTTTTTTTTAAAATCATTTTTCAAGCGTATAGTTTGTTTTTGGAGCCCTGGTGGCCCAGCGGCTAAGTGCTACGGCTACTAACCTAAAGGTTGGTAGTTTGAATCCACCAGCCACTCCTTGGAAACCCTATGGGGCAGTTCTACTCTGTCCTCTGGGGTTGCTGTGAGCCGGAATCGACTAGATGGCAGTGGGTTTGGTGTTGGAAGCCAAGATCCACTTTCATAAAGTGGATAACAATTTCCCCTGTTTGAAATATGAAGGCCTCTTAGCAAGGAGTGGAAACCCTGGTGGCGTAGTGGTTAAATGCTATGGCTGCTAACCAAAGGGTTGGCAGTTCAAATCCACCAGGTGCTCCTTGGAAACTCTATGGGGCAGTTCTACTCTGTCCTATAGGGTTACTATGAGTCGGAATCGACTCGCTGCCAATGGATTTGGGTTTTTCTTTTTAGTTTACCTTTGCTTTGGGGAACTCACATTTGCAAGTTAATTGAGAACTATGGTAGTGTAGTCACTGATCTTCCATCGTTGAGAAGAATAATCGTAATAGGTCGGGGTGGCTACCTGTATGGCCACCTTATTTCAAGCAAAAAAACAAAAATGGGTTATTTGCTCTATGTTGCCTTCTTTACTTGGACTGTTCTTTCCCCAGGCTTTTTACATAGTTTTTACAGTGAACATTTGCCTTTCTATTATGTCACCACATTGCATAATTTGAATTTTGTAATTTTCCGCTTCACATTTGCCTAATTACTCTTTCCAAGGTTTATTTCATTAGGCAATTGTATGATTTAAGATATGATGTTATCGTATATGCCCCGCTACCACTACTGGTGTTTATTTCTCTAGTACTTAAATAATATAAAAAAAATAAAAGTTCGTATTTACCCTATGCATCCAGCATTCTTCCTACACACGGTATCAGCCACCTCCAGGAAACATACTGCATTGTTCAGTACAAAATAGTTTTTTAATGAACCTCTCCACAGAGGATCCTGTCTGTAGGCTGTAACAGGATTAATTTATGAGAGCTTATCTGCACTATATCTTTCCTAGAGAAAAGTACGCATATAAATATTGCAGAGAGCTTCTGTTTCCTCCCAAGCAATAGAGGTGCACATGCAGAAACATGGGACAAGGGCAACGTGCTTTTCAGTCTGAATATGGTCTTCTGGGTGTCTGATTCCTGAGCTGACAGACTTTAGTGCCCGATGGGAGTGTTACCTTCACACGATTTACACCACCTTCTGATACCCTCCTTCCACTCCCAGTGAAGAACTTTGTAATATACGGGCTCCACTAGGAAACAACCAAGCGTTGTGGCAGGGGAAGTGAAACCCTCTTCTTGTTGGCCTGTCATATTGAGCTTGCAAAAGAATTTGCTTCTGTCTAAGAAAACTGTCCATCTGTTATTTAGCTGTTTTCTCTTTCTTTAGAGCAAAGAGGAAATGGGTTGAATTTAGGACAGTCAAGCCCTGTAACGAGTTAGCAAAGAATATTTGAACCTACTTTTTGTGTACTTGGAAACAGCTTGAACACTGTTTCCTTTAGGTGGCTCAGTAATACATGTTTTATCAAAATTAATTTTAGAGAGGCTTTCCAGATGCTTTGGATTTCTTGGTTTGGGAAGGCTGAAGGGTGTGGAGAGGAGAGGAAGGCAGTGTGGTATCCTTTTCTGTCGAGTCTGCTTCCTTCTGTCACAAAGAGCTTTTTAAGGCCAGACTGGAGTCTGTCCTATCTTGGTACCAGTCCCTGAGCTAGGCAGTTCCCACTTGTGAACTCAGGGCGAGAACGCCATTGTTACTCCAGGCTGCTTTTTGTGGTACCAGGAGTTAGAAGCAGCACCATGGAAAGGCATCCTCAGAAAAGATGTTAGTTTGGGAGCAGTGAGCTGCCTTCTAGTGGATAGTCTTAAGTTTAAATCACTATTTAAAATCTAGTATGGTCACCAGAAATTAGGTAACTGTACTTCAGATTAATGGAAATTTACCTGCTTTTTTCAGCAAGGAGGAAGACTGGTAAGGTAGGAAAACAGCTTGGTTGTTATGTATTTGATTTCTGAGAACACGTAAAAATATAATTTTAGGGAACCCGTTAGAGGTGTTCTCAGATCAGCCAGACCTTGACTAGGGAATTTATAATCTCAAGTTTAAATAACATTTCCAGCTGAAAATTGTCATTTTAAATTTGCACTGATTAGTCTTTTTTTTTTTTTTTGGAACCCTGGTGGTGCAGTGGTTAAGAAGTCGGCAGCTAACCAAAAGGTCAAAAGGTCGACAGTTGGAATCCACCAGCCACTCCTTGGAAACCCTGTGGGGCAGTTCTCCTCTGTCCTATAGGGTCGCTATAAGTTGGAATCGAGTTCAGTCATCTTTGTAGTTGTCAGTGACGTGCCTTTTGAAAATGTTAATGAAGTTCACTATAATAATCACTAAAAGGCCAAACAAAACTTCTGATTAAAAAAAAAAAGATAACCAAAATTAAGCCACAAAAGAGCAATAATATCTATTTTAAATTAATAAATGTAGTAAATCTATGTATTATGACTGCATTGTTACTTATGTAAATATAATTAATGTATTCTAGGGAGAACTACCACTCATTTCTTACATTCTTCTTTGAAGTTGGTTTTTGGAATGATGACAATATGTTTTAGGTGAGGCTTTAAGAAGTTAGCTCTATGTAGGTAAATGGAGCCTGTTCGGGCCACACCTCCACTTACCCCCCGCCCAAAAAGGAAGAAGATGCATTTATGGGTTCTCATGCTGGTTCTGTTTCCTCAAGTCAGCTGTTTCATTTGTTTGTTTTGGTCCCAGGAAGGGCAGTGAATAAATACACTAACTTCATTTTTAAAGCACATCGTACACAAGGCTGTCGATAGAAGCTCTTTGGCCTTGGATCGTAGTAAATGAAAAATTAAAAAATTGGATATTTTAAACACAGTCATGACATGTGAGCGGCTATAGTGGAAGCAAAATTTCATGGCTAATTTGCACCTTTGAGAATAGATGTGGAAAAAGAAGTAAGTTTGATGAACTTGTTAATTCTTACTCTTGCACTGCATTTGGTGTTGCTTGATGGAAGTAGCGCAATCCTCTACCTTACGTTACGCAGCCTTCTTTTATTCTGATGCCTCTTTGGCTTTGGTATCAAGGTTGTTTTTTATTTTGACTTTTTAAAAATAAATTAAAACACAATAGCCTGTTTTTTTAAACTCTAAGCTATAATTGCACATTGCTGGAGGTCTCCTTTCTTCTCCTGTTATCTTCTAAAGTCATTACGTTTGCCTTCAGCAAAATATCTTTTTAATTCGGTGACACTCTATTCATTTCTTATGTATTTAGTAGAGAAATCTGTAAAGTGACATTTGTTCTCTGAAACTGAACTTTCCCAAATGAGATGATGTGAGTGGTAGAATGCTTGTCTTCCATCAGCTTTAACTATTTAGAAGCAGAGTGTTGGAAATGACCTTAGAAATAAGCAGTCTAACCTTTTCTTTGTGTTTTTAGATTTGACTTTCTAAGTAATAATGTTAAAAAAACATTTTAAAACAGGATTTCATCTAATTTTGGATCTTATTCTTTGAACTGTTAAGAATAAGATAGTCCCTCTGGAATAAGCAATGCTTAATATATTTTTTAATGGTAATTTTCTCCAAACTTCTTTATGCTAAATTGATAAAACTAGCTCTTTCCCATCAATGTGTGTAATTTAATTCTTCGCTATTCTTAAAAGAGTTAGGAATTGTGTTTCTTTTCTTTCCTTCACGTATTTAACTGTTTGAGAAAAGTATCAAGGTTGAGTCTCCTGAGAAGATGCCAGTGAAGTTTCCTATTATGTCTAAGTGAGGCTGGATGATTTTTCCCTGTCACTGTTGATATTATGGTATTTTAAAAGTCAGTTCGAAATGTTCATAGAAGAACTTTTCATAATAGCCCAAATCTAGAAACTACTCACTAGAATGGATAAGAAAGTGAGGGTATCTTCACACACTGGAATGCTCTACATAAATAAGAATCAACAAATTAAAATTACACACAGCAAAATGGGTTGATCTCACAATCATAATGTTGAGTAAAAGAAGCCACACTTGAAAAGTACATACTGTATGATTCCATTTATATAAAGTTCCAAAATGGGCAGTATGAATCCAAGCTGTTAGAAGTCAGGATCTTGGCCCCCTGGAGACAGAGAAGTGACAGAGAGGGTTTAAGGGGGTCTCCGTGGTTAAGAGCTTGGCTGCTAACCAAAAAGGTCGGCAGTTCGGATCCACCACCCCCTCCTTGGAAACGCTGTGGGCAGTTCTACTCTGTCATGTTGGGTCGGTTTGCATCCGAATTGACTGGTTGGCAACAGGTTTGGTTTCTTTGGTCGTCTTGTGTGTGGTTTTCCTGATCTGGGTCTCATTTTCTGAGTTCACTTTGTAGAAACTCTTAGAGTTTGTGTACTTTTTGCTATATATGTTGTGCATCAATAAAAAGTGTCCGTTAAAAAAGTCAAGAGCTTTTCATCAATGAAAAATGGCATTATCTACATTTTGTTGATTAGGTGGGGATGAAGGACAAAAAGCCAGGAAGAACAAACAAGAAGCATTTCCAACACTGGAGACTGTGTTCACAAAGCTTCAGCTCCTTTCGTATTTCGATCAGCATCAAGTGACATCTCAGGTAGCCATTTGAAGCTGCTTTATCATGCATTTGGGATATTTATATTTCCTTAAAAATCTCTTTCATGCAATGTATGTCTTCAGCCTTAGTTGGTTTTGTAAATATATTTTATAAACATATTTGGAAGCATTCCAAACTTTTGAGTAGTACATTTTTAAGTGTCAAGTTGCCTTCCTTAGAAGAATTAATATTTATCATGGAATCCTGATGGAGCAAACAGTTAAGCACTAGTCTGCTAACCGAAAGGTTGGCAGTTGAAACTCACCCAGCGACTCCGCGGGACGAAGGGCTGGCGATCTGCTTCTGTAAAGATTACAGCCAAGAAAACCCTTTGTGGCAGTTCTGCTATGTCACATGGGGTCGCTATGAGTTGAGATAGACTTGATGGCACCTAACAAGTATTTTTACCTTATGATAGTAATAAGCAATATCAAATACTGTCCAGTTCAGTACCTGTGTTATTACATCTTGGTCTTATATTAATTGCTACTGATGAGGGAAAAATCTGCTGATAACGGAAATAAAATACTCTGAAATTGAGTAGAAACCAAATCAGTTTTGCTTGGCAAATCCATTGATATTCCAGTAGGTGTTTGGGGGAATTAATTAATATTTATAGTTGTTCTACCTTTAGGTTAGTCACGGTCTAGATCTTAATGACAAACTTGGCATGTTTCTTCAAATTACAGTTGTGGTAAGGAAGTTGTTTCCATTTTTACACGGCCTTGCTTTATGTAGAAATGTCTTAACTTTCTTCCGATCAGAATCGCATATAAATTCAAGTGCCTTAATTAAAAATTAAAGTAATCTAAGTTGATAATTATTTAGAATATTCATCCTCATAGTTATTTTCCTTTTTGCACAGATCTCTAACAACGTGCTGGAACAGATCACAAGCTTTGCGTCCGGAACATCCTACCATCTCCCTTTGGCTCACCATATTCAGCTAATCTTTGATCTCATGGAGCCGGCGCTGAACATCAATGGACTAATTGACTTTGCAATACAGGTGTCAGAGAAACCAGACTCCTCTAGTTTTGGGGAAAGCAAACCTACTGGGCATTATGCAGTGTAAAAATACTAAGATAGCCAAACTTCATGCATTAACTATCTGAAGCACCCAGTACATTCTAAATAATTGAGACATTTAAACATCCTCTTGACATGTGAGCAGCTATAGTTTCAGATTTCACTTTATAACCTGTGTGTACAGTTAATGGGTAGCGTTTCCATTTTCCCCGTCAAGTCTTCAGCTCGCATTTTCAATCGCAGCTCTGTTCATATTTTTTCAGTTAAATAATTTTAATTGGTGCTAAAATACATAATAGCCATTTAAAATGTGGGAGTTTTGAGGTTCTGTGGGTATGTTTTGTTATTTAGGGAAAAATGAGAGTTTATTTGCCTCTATAAAATATTTTAGATTAAAAGCAAAAGAAAGGAGCCTTAGGATTTGATTTGTTCTCATATTTATCATACACATGCTTGAGTTTATTTATTGTCTGCTGTTATTAGTGAATGGATATAAGACTTACTTTCTGTTGCTTTTTCTGCTAGAGGAGTTAGCTGTGTTATTAATAAGCAGATGATGATAAATACTTTCCATTTTATTAAAAAGAAGGGAAAAGGGGAGAAAAAGTGAGCAGTGAGGGTATTCTTCTCTGAAAATATCCAGCCCAGAGCTTTGGGCCACCATAAAGTTTCAGTAACTCTTTCATTGTTAGGCACTTCCTGATTGCACTGTGATGTCTAGACAGAAAAAAAAAAAAAAAAAAAAATCCTCTATAAACTGGTGAGGAATTAAAAATAAAATTCATTGGGTTGTGTTTTGTAAGACTGCTGTTATGTACCTATATGGACTTGGGGCGGGGTAAGAGGAGATCAAATGTAGTTAGGCACCTCATAACGTCCGTTCGGGCAATGTCCGACCGCATGTACATCTGTGGCCCCATAAGGTTATAACAGAATTCAGAAATCTCGATTGGAGAATGGGACATAGCAGATGTAACACTTGAAACACTTCTAAACTGTGCAGTGTTTTCATGAAAGTCACAAAATAGTATGTGGATTTGTTATTATGAACCATTGTACATACTTAACTCAAATTTTTAATATAATAGGCCTTATGGCTGTCTGTCCTTAAGTACAATTTGTCCCTAAGTCAGACGTTCATACCCTGGGGACTGCCTGTATTTAATATAGTGTTCACATAACGTCCAAATCACATAACATCCTGTTTCACAGAAGGTATCATGGACGTTAAGCAACGCATGACTTTAGTATTAGAATGACTGGGTGTGTTCATGGTTTGTAGAGTATGTGTTTTCTCTTACTTGTTTTGGAACCTACATTTTTATTCAGTCTTGTCTCATGTTGTAGCTACTAAATGAACTGAGCGTTGTGGAAGCCGAGCTGCTCCTGAAATCTTCCAGCCTGGCAGGAAGCTACACGACGGGACTGTGCGTCTGCATCGTGGCTGTGCTGAGGCGGTACCATAGTTGTCTGATCCTGAATCCCGATCAAACAGCCCAGGTGTTCGAAGGGTTGGTATATAACACGTCATTACTGTTTTCCAATCCTAGAACGTGTAATTTGTGATTAAATATCATGGTAATTTTAAAAGAAATATGGTACTGGTGTTTGTTTCAGTCCCAGGATATAACATAGTTAAAGAATGCTTCTCCCAGAAAACATTTATCAGAGAAGCAAGTTACAGTATGTAAAATATGTTCTCTTTGATAGAGTATGATTCCTGCCTCCCTTTTTCCCTTCCTCATGGCCTCCCTGCCTTTCTGCCTTCCTTCTTTCCCTCCCCCTGGTTTTCAAGGGAACAAGTCTAGTCAGTCATAGACTCTGCCATTTCTGCTACCCAGCATCATGACTTATGAATACTGAATAGTTGACAGCTTCTTTGTTCATGTGATTTCAGTTATCAGTATTCACATCTGGGAGTCCAACACCAAGTAGTCTTTGCACACATTGTCATTTTGGAGATTTGGTACTTCAGTTTCATTTCTTGGATTAATTAAAGCTAACTTTTGACAAGAGTTAATCTAGAACAGATGACTTCCTTGACTCTTAGATTCCCCGGCTCTGTTTTGTGCATTTTGTAGGCTAAGGTTTACTCTCTTACTGCTTGTGAATTTGGGCTAAGTAACTACCTTATATCGTTGCCATTAGAGACTGAGGTTAAGGGGACCAAAGAAATATCATGGGCTCTCAAAAACCTGTACTGTGCTCCTTTTTACATATGCCTGACTCCCTTTCTCAGAGCTTTATTTAAGAAGAGACAAACATTTTTTCTTCCATCCCACCTCCTTGGGCTCAAAAGAGTTCTGAGGTTCTTCATTTCCACAGTACCTTTTTTTGGTAATCTAGCATGTAGAACCAATTTATTCTAGATGACATCCATTTAGCAGCAGCTTTTCTGAGGAAAATAGAAATGCTTCCACATTGATCGTACACATAGGTTGTAAAGGAAAATCTGAAATATTTCAGAAACTCTCATGTGAGAAAAGGTACATCTGAGAATTAAGGAAATGTAGAATTATTCAACTCCCCTGAAAGGTTTGGATATTTAGTTCAGTTTTACAGGTCAAGAAACTGAGACTGAGGTTTGTGAAATGAAGTGTTTGGTGAAGTGAAATACCCAGGGGCAGGTAGCTAATAAATCTCACAGATTGGGATAAAAGCTTTTCTGACTGTGATCTAATTCATGCTTTCTGATTTATACTGTATTTTTTAAAGTGTGTATTGCAACCCGTTAGTTAGTCATGAAATAAATTCAGTGGGCCGTGACAAGTATTTTTGTTTCGTTTTTATATTGTATGTTTAGGTCAAGATAAGTTTCATGATTTCTGTATCGTTTATTTTGGCATTAAAATTTATGTTCTATTAAATATTAGTAAAATCATAATCGATATAAACTTTGTTATATATTTTTACTTTATCATACATAGTAAAGATAAATGTCTTTCCCAAAACTGTTATTTCAGTTTTCTTGTACTTATATGAGTCAGTATACCAGATCACACTGTAAAATGTTTTTCTTACCTTTGGCAAGTCAAAACAGTTGAGGAAACGTTGACTGCTATACTATGCAACTCTTAATAAATATTTTAATCATAGAGCAATACTTTGCTGTACCAGCTATATCAGGAGAATTTTTTGTTTATATAGTTAACAACAGGTTGAAGTCTCTACTTTTCTTCTTAACTGTGTGACACTCTTGTCTAATTGACAGCCATTATCCACCTCCAGGGGCCCCCATGAGTTAATGTCACTTCACAGGGGTTGGGATGCTACATTGCCATGCTTGCCACTGTCTCTGGGCCTCCACCTATTGCACTGGTAATTCTAATGTCTTTCTTGGCCTTGACATCCCATATGCTCTCCCACCCTCCATCTTCCCCTAGAATAGAGTTCTGCCTGGGAGTCTGGAGGCCTAAACTCTCATCTTGGGTCTGCTCTGAACTAACTCCTTGCCTTTGGACAAGTCATTCCACCTGTCTGAGCCTCAGAGAACTCTTTATTAAACGAGAAGGGTGAAGCAGAGCTCAGTAAGCTGGATCATTTATGACCCTACCATGTGGCTGGGCTCCGTAACAGAATACAAGATGGCAGTGGAATCAGACTCACATACAGGACTAGAGTCTCCTTCTGTGTTGACCTCCAAAGAGGCCATACTTCTGGCTGGCAGACAAAGGCACAGAATTGGAGTAGTAATGTACTTCTGAATTGAAAGAGTTGGCAGAGAATGTCACTAAAATTAAGGAATTTTAAGTTTTCATATAAGATAAACTATAAAATAAATTAGTTTCTAGTTTGTATAAACAAGGGGGATGTAACCCAAACCATAAATTCGTCAAGATTGTGCCAGAACCAGCTCAGGCTCTTGAAAATGGATTCCTCAGAATCGCTCCTTACAAAGGAGTGAACTGGAGAATCTTGACAAACTCATCGAATTTGTGAATCTTTGTACGGAAGGGCCGGTCTCTACTATAACTCCCCTTTTGTGCTCTAGTCACAGCAACTTAACTGATACAGTCCTTCATACGTACCCTCTGAACTCCTTCCATTTCTTACTGTTAATGGCATTTCTGAAGTTTTTTTTATATCTACCAGTTCAATATCATAAATAGAAAACTGGTACTATATTTAGTTATTTGCTATTTGCTATAATGATTAGTTTTAATCATCTGCTGTCTTTTTTTCTTACCCAAGTAAAACATGGACATAGTCTCATTCTAAAAGATTCAAATGATGATAGATGTATTAGAACACGCATGCCTGATTTCTTCATGTATTTTCCTTCTCAGGTTGTGTGGTGTGGTCAAGCATGTTGTCAACCCCTCAGAATGTTCTTCCCCTGAAAGATGCATCTTAGCCTACCTCTATGATCTTTATGTGTCATGTAGCCACCTCAGAAGTAAATTTGGAGACCTCTTCAGGTTGGTAAAAGAAAACCAGTGGCCTACAAACAGTATTATTATGCCAGCCAATATTGTCATACTTTTTAATAATGAAAGTTCATTGTAATTCATATCTTTCAGGCAGTAATTTGAATATAACTCAAGATTTGTTTAAACCATAAATATTAAAATACATAGCGGCAATAAAAGATAGGCCATATACAATATAAGTATGCGATCATAGGGTTTTTTTTCCTCAAGTGGATTGACTTTAGGTAATAAAATATTCGACTCTGATTAATTTTATTTCTTCAACAAATAAACAATTATTTTTTATGATTCTATGTTGGCTGTAAGTTATACAGACATACCAAACCAAACTCATTGCCAGTGAGTCAATGCTAACCCATAGCGACCCTATAGGACAGGGTAGAACTGCCCCATGGGATTTCTAAGGCTGTAAATCTTTATGGAAGCAGACTACCACATCTTTCTCCTGCAGAGTGGCTGGTGGATTCAAACCAACCTTTTGGTTAGCAGCCAAGTGCTTAACCACTATGCCACCAGGGCTCCTTTGTAGACATAGTACATTTTAAATAAGTTATGCTGAATTAATGATGACTATTTTGTACATTTTATATTTTAAATTTCAATTTCAGTTTGAATTATAAACCTTAATATAAGGTCCATGGCGGCAGCCCTTTTGAGTTTTACTTGGCTTTGACATCCCTAATTTTTGAGCTAAGATTTTGTGCTCAGTTTGGGTAGCTTTAATACTCTTTGTGCATCACGAAGTTGCAAAATATTTTCTTTCCAATTAACTCATAGAAGATTCTGTAGCTTCAGTAACTTTTTGTGCAACTTTTGCAAACTGTATTTACTCAGTTTCCTTTTTTTTAAAAAAAATAAAAACAAATGTACTTCTTAGTAAACCACTTTTCCAACTGTTTATGATTTTTTTTTTTTTAAATGGCTGGTTCCTTCATTGTATGATGTTAATTCTACATGCATTAAAAGCAAAAGGACACTTGGCTTTGGGTTCCAGATTTTGATTCAAGGTTAACTTGCTAAATACTACCTAACATTTCTTTACGTGAGGAAAGTGTAGATGACATAAGAAGACACTACACATTCTGCGGTTGGCTGACTTGCTATCTTAAATTTTAAATGCCGTCATTATCAGGTCATGAAATTCAGTTCCTGTCAGTCTTATTGCTCAAGGAACATTGTAGTTTTTAAGTCCTGAAGTTTTATTTTTATAAATATATGTATCTTCTTACTCCCTTGTCTGGAATTCACATTGAATTCCCTGTTGCTGTAACTATAATCTCCTATTACAAATATGTATGTGCGTTTAGCTACGATCACAATTTTAAGATAAGCCTGAGAGAAGATATTCTGTGTTCTGTGTTTGCTGTTAACCTCAGTTGAAACATTCTTCTCCAGCTGTTTGCATGCTCATTCCCTCACTTCATTAGTCTCTGCTTCCTTGACAGTTTTATTTAAAACAGGACCTCTCTCTCCCTCTGTTGCCTTTTGTTCTCCATATCTTAACACCTGCTACCCACACCTGCTTTGATACAGGTGCTGGAAAATGAATACTTATATTTTGAGGAATTTTAAATTACTAGTTAGAGGTGGGGGTGGAGAAGGTAAGAGCTGACAAAAGAAATTTGGACTCTAGAAGGAGGTAGAGAATAATCACTAATGGTTTTCTTTACTGTCTCATGCCTTACATCCAGTTTGTTTGAAAATAATTTTATATTTAAAATTCTACCTGAATTATAAACCTTCCAAGTCTATCTAGAACCTGACCACTTTCCATCACCTCTGTCACCAGTACCACAGTCCTTTCTTGCTTGGATCATTGCTGAGTTCTTCCCGCTGGTTTCCCTACTTCTACCCGTCTGCCCTTGAGCATATTCTTAACACAGCTGCTGAAGTCAGCCTTTTAAAACAAGGATGTCTGCCTTGAGCATTGTGCTTTTTTAAAGAACTTTCTATATGAGATCAAACGGACAGCAACAACTCGAAAGGTTAGATAGGAAGCTTGGGAGGCAGTGAGTTTACGTTAGTGGGGGAGGAACAGTTCGGAAAAGGGGGATGAGAATGGTTGCTCACCTTGAAGAGTGTAATCAGTGTCACTGAATTGAACATGGAGAAGTTGTTGAATTGGTGTATGTGTTGCTGTGTATATTTTCAACAACAATAAAAATTTTTTAATCAAAAAGAAAAACAAGGATGACTTAAAACCTTCCAGTGTACTTCCCATCTACTCAAAATAAAATTTGAAGTCCTTACCTAGCCTTCAGGAGCTACAGGATCTGGCCCTCTCTTCCACCTCGATCACTCCATCCTGGCCGCATGGCCCTCCTTCCTGGTCCTCAGACACTCTGTGCACACTCCCACCTCTGGTGGGGCTTTTGCTTTCTACTAACCTCCCTTGGAACACTTTCCCCCATATGATTGTATACTTACTGCTGCGCTTCATTCAAGGCTCTGCCTCCTGACCACTCTTTTTTAAATAGCACATCTTCTCTGATCCTTAGCGCTTACTACTCCCTGATACATTTTATACATACATACATATATATATATATATATATATACATATATATATATATATGGTCTGACTTCTCCCTAGAATATAAACTTCCTGAGAGTAGATACCTTTTCTAATTTCTTCACTGCTGTGTCTAGAGCCTTGATCAGTAATTGGTACATATTATCCTACGTTAACCCCTACTGTCAAGTCAATTCCAACTCATAGCAACCCTATAGGACAGAGTAGAACTGCCACATGTTTTCCAAGGCTGTAAATCTTTACGGAAGCAGGCTGCCACATCTTTCTCCCACGGAGTGGCTGGTGGGTTCGAACTACGGACCTTTTGGTTAGCAGCCTAGCGCTTTAACCATTGCACCACCAGGGCTCCTGGTACATATTAGACACTGCATAAAGATCTGTTGATGTTCCCAGGACAGCACCAATAGCTTGTTTGACCCCCTAATGCTCTTGCACTGTAGTACAGATAGGTTTAATGTGTTAAATACCTGCACACATCCAATGTGCAGTGGAAATGTGGTGATTAAGGCACCCGCAGTGGGTTGAGGGGTTACTTAGGCTTAGCAAAGTGGTACATCACAGGGAGAGGCATTGTCTAAAGGTTCCTCCATGAAAGAAATGGAAGTGAAATGGAGCTTTTGGGGGGATATCTGGAAGTCAGGTATCTGTTTGTAGTTTGGGATTAAGAAAAAACAGAACGAAAAAAATCCTAGAGACGCAGAGAGCTTTCTGTTCGTATACTCATAAAGCACTGATAATAATTGCGTCTGAACACCAGCCACAAGGCTGTGTAAGATGAACAGTGGGAGAAATATACCACTAACCATGCCCACTGCTTACTGAGCCCCGCCTGTGTGCCTAGCACTGCACTGGGTCATTTCCATAAGGATCTTTAATTCTCACACCAGCCCCAGCAGTAAAAATGATTATGCCTATTAACAAATGGTTGTTCCTAGTGATGAGTTAATAAATAATGAAGCCTAGATTTGAATGTAAGCCTTTTTGATTCCAAGGTGTTTGTTGCTTTCGTACACTACATGATTTCTGATACATGCAGTTTCAGAAGGAGAAGCCCTAAGGGTTGTTTGCTTAAATTTCATGACTGTGGCAGAGAGTGGGAAAGAGTCTGAGGGTGGTTTAGATGGCAGCTGGCGTTTTCTTAAAACATAAAGGCTTGTTGCAAAAGAGTGTGATAAATTAGACAGGAAGACTAGAAGTGAAGGGTGAAGACTTCCCATGAGCCACAGCGTTCAGAGAAATCATACAATCCAGGCAAGAGGTAGGAGAGAGCCTACTCAAGAGAAGTCTCTCTATTGAATGAAAAGTGGGGGCTGAATAAGAACTGGGAAGGACAAACCAAATTATTTAGATTCCCAAAGACTGGCTTGGGTAGACTTGGTAGAATTCAGTGGAACATTGACTAGAGGGAGGTTAGATTTTATGACTTGCAGAAGCCAGCTTCATTAAACACTCAAGCGTGTTGGGAGGTGAAGGAAACCTGGGATGTGGTGTTAGGGAGGGAACCAGCAAAGAGTAAAGTTTGTTTTTGTTTCATTTTTAGTGGGAAAGTAAAACAAATTAAGAATAAGTAAGAGTGAATGAAAAGTTGACTGGAAAATATGGCAAAAATAAGACAGGAAAAAGAGATTTTTAAAAGCACTGGAGATGATCTAATGCCTACCATTTTGAAAATTTCTTGACTCCATATTGCAAATTGTATCCATCAGTGCCTGCTGACAACCTGTCTGCAAAGAAAGGTAGGGAGCTTAGTGAATTGTAATTACTGCCGTTGAGTGGGTGCCTGCAGTCTTGTTTATCAGACCAGGGTGTCCCAAGCATTGCTTGGCATTAGATTTACCTAGGAGAGCTTGTTAAAAATGCAGATTCAGTACACCTGCAGTGAGGCTTGGGAATCTGTATTTTTAATAACCCCCCTAGGCGATTCTGACAGAGGAGATCTGAAGCCACAGTTTGGTGAACGTTGAACTGGGCAGTCTTTTCTTAAAGCATTTAGCAGTGGCAACAGTTTAGGGTAAAGAATGATTTTTGAGGAAATCACTTCTGTCTACTTTTTATGTAGCTTTACTTACCCCTATTCTTATAGGATAAGCAAAAGTCATATGTCACCTTACCACAAATAAATCTGCTGCTAAAAACTTTAAAAAAAAATGACCCTCTGCTGAATAAAGGAGCTCTTGAATAGAGAAGGCAAACGCTGCTTCCAGATTTGTTTTCCAAGGCAAGTAGACAAGAACAGCGAAATTTATATAGAATCTGAGCTTTGAAATTAGCCAGCTGTCCTTTGGCCTCATGGACACAGCCGGGTAGGAGGAGATGCTTTCTGATTCCTTTGTCGTTGTTAGTTGTCATCAAGGCAGTCCCTACTCATGGCGAACCCAGGTGTGCAGAACAGAACTCCAGAGAGTCTGTGACCTTTCAGAAGCAGACCTCCAGGCCTGTCTTCCAAGGCATCTCTGGATGGGTTCAAACTGCCAACCTTATAGCTAGTAGTCAAGCGCTTAACTGTGTGTGCCACCCGGGACAGAACAAGATTGGAGTAGATGCTTTCTAATTCCTCTACTAATATTCTGTATCTTATTCGGATGTAACTCACTGAAACATGAACTGTTTTCATGTGATAGACCAGGCTCTGAAAAATCTCTTTAAAATTGCTGAGAAACACGTGATAAGTTTTTATGAGTGACATGATGGTGTTTTTTTCACTCTCATGAAGTTTGTATGTTTTTCATTCTACCCTGCTAGAATGTCAGCCCCAGGAAGGCTGGGAACGTTCTTCTGTTTTTCACAGCTGTGCCACCGTGCCCGCAGTATCCTTGGCACACAAGCCTTCACTGATACACTGTACTTAGGGAAAGAATTTTGCAGGATGTATAGTCAAGACTAAAGCACCAAATTATTCCTGGTGTATAATTTAATCCATTTTCATTGTTAAGTAGTAGCACTTTATTATTAGAAGGCAGTTGTTAGAAGCCTTAGTAAATCCTTTGATTTTTAGAACATTTCAAATATTGGAAATATTTATAAAATAATTAACATTAGTAACCAGATGTCATATTTCTGTTTTGTTCTTCTACCCAGTCGTCAACTACTGACTGGGCAGCTACTGTGTTGCCGGTCCTTTGCTCAGTGCCAGTTATTAAGCTGCATTTAAGAACTCATAATGTGAATCTTTTCTAATCCACATGTTGCAGTTGCATCCACTTCATCTGTGCTTGAGTGAAATAAGTTTCTAGTCATTCTAGTTTGTCGTTGTTGTTTTTTTTAACTCTTCTTCTTATAACCTCAGTAGTGCCTGTTCAAAAGTAAAGCAGACCATCTATAATAATGTGATGCCTGCAAATTCTAACTTGCGATGGGATCCTGACTTCATGATGGACTTCATTGAGAATCCATCAGCCCGGAGCATCAACTATTCAATGCTTGGCAAGATCCTGAGTGACAATGCAGCCAGTCGCTACAGCTTTGTCTGCAACACGCTCATGAATGTGTGTATGGGCCATCAGGACGCTGGAAGGTAAGATGGGTTATCCTGGAATTCTTGATCAATCAAAGAGCTGCTGCCTTGATGCCTACTTTGCAGTTAAGGTCTTTAGTAATTACCTGGGTTGACAATTGGCTGCCATTTGCTGCGTCTCATCTGCCTTTATTCCCAAATTTACCTAAGGGAAACCCTATAATTGCCGTAATCTGTGAGACATCACTCTCTGGCCTATTGCTGTGTCATGAGATGCTTTGAATATGGTCTGTGAGTTATATGATCCATTTACAAAAACATGTATGACAAACCTGTAGGTAAAATATCCATATTTAATAAAACTGCATTTGGATTTAACCAAATTACATAGTGTCTTTAATTTTTTTTAATTGAATACCCTTAAGGTGTTGGCTAAATGTGAATATATAGATCAGATATGTTCAAAGAACTAAAAAATGCTAATTCACATCTGTACTAATTGTTGTTTGTGGCTTAATGGCGTTAAATCGTAGAAGAATTTTGTGGTCATTGACTTCTGTCTTGTACGTCAAGTTCTGCTAGCTTGGGTGACAAGTGGCTGTTTATTGTACCGTTGAATCCAAGAAGATGAGTAACTTTTACGATCATGGTGAAATATGCAATCAGCAGGTGTATTGCTTGATAGTATTTCTATTTTGTGTAAGGTTACATCCTACTGTTTTCTTTTTATTTTCTAGGATTAACGACATAGCCAATTTCTCCTCTGAGCTGACAGCTTGCTGCACTGTTCTGAGCTCGGAATGGCTGGGGGTTCTGAAGGCTCTTTGTTGTTCCTCAAATCACGTGTGGGGGTTTAATGATGTTCTCTGCAGTGTCGATGTAAGTTTTTTACATCACTTAACAAATGAACTGTGCATTTCAGTATTCAGCTAGTGGGCAATTTTATGTTTCTTTGTTTGTTTTAAATTGGCTCAGCCGTTAACTGAAATGTTGTAAAGTATGTTTTCTTTCTTTGTCCAAAAGCAGTAAACCACAGTGTAGTTGCCAAGGACTAAACAAATGAAAAAAATCCCCTAAATAAATAAAATAGGTAGCTTAAACTATAGCAGAAATGCCAGGAGTGGGCTTGTTTTAACTGGGACGTATACATATACATGGTTACTTGAGAGCTGTTAGGTTTCGTTTTTCACTAAGTGCCTTGAATTCCTCATGGCATGGGATATAAGTTAACTACAGTAGCTTCTATTCAAGTGGAGAGTATACTCCAATAATAGAGGTTTTGCCATGCTGCGTAAGACTGTCTGGGCCTGGATTCAGAGGGATGTCCACACTGTCATAGTGATTTTATCTGAAGGCAATGAAGAGATGTCTGTACATATCACTGATTTCCTCCAGTATCACACTGCATTCATCATGTGAGAATTTCTTAAAAATCTGTCTTAATTCTTACTTTATCTGTTTCTGCCTGCTGTCATGTCTTGGAGTAAACCATGTCATATAATTGATGTACCTTATGTATAGAAGAACTTTATACATTTTTTTTAACCACCTCCCAGTTGAAGGTCTGCTCCCTAATTCTGCCATCCCAGGACTGGGTGGACAATCCTGTATCTATTCTATGGGTACCTGTTAAGATTGTGTGTGTGTGTGTGTGCGCGCGCGTGTGTGTGTGTGTCTGCCTATCTGCCTGCCTGCCTGTCTATGTATGCATCCTTCCTTCCTTCCTTCCTTCCTTCCTTCCTTCCTCACTCCCTCCCTCCCTCCCTCCCTGTGGCCTGCTTTTCCAGACAGAAAAGACCTAAGTTTTTATCTTTATTTGACACAGTTTCTTAACCCCTTCTTTGTTTTTTAGTTACACGCACCTTCTGCTTTATCCCCTCATCTGTAAAAGTGGAATTAATAACAGTGTGAATCTCATAGTGTTGTGCTCTGAAATGAGGTGAATTTTGTAAAGCGCTAAGCACAGTGCCTGGCATATAGTACCACTCAATATGGAGGCTGCTGTGATAACCACTGTGCTTACCGTTTTCTGCCGAAGTCTTGTGAGATCTGTAGAGACTTCACTGTGACCGCGTTGATTTTCCTCCTCTTTCTCTTCTTGTCGTTATTTTGTTACAATGTTTTTAATTTTAGTGGTCATATGGAAACTTTCAGAGTTGTTGTTAAAACTAATTTATTACTCATTGTTCGTCATCACTAATAGAAATTCCAGAACATGAGCGAGGCTTGTTTTTCAACTAGAGGAACCCCTTTGCTTTCCCCTGCTCTCTAATATTCTTATCCTTAAATGACACACCTTACTGCATTCCGCTAAGAAGAATTACGCTACATCTTTTAGGGATTTCTAGATTCTTTCCTTTTTTTTTCTTTCAATTAAATGTGCACACAACAAAGCTCAGTATCTTCTGATAGCGTTGAAATACAGGTTAAGCTCATTCTTTGTCTTAGAAAGTGTAAATAGACAGGCCCATTGTTGTCATTGTTGATGGTTGCCATTGAGTTGATTCCTACTCATGGTAACCCCGTGTCTGCAGAGTAGCACTGCTTCATAGGGTTTTCAAGGCTGTGACCTTTCGGGAGCAGTTCACCAGGCCTGTATTCCGAGGCACCTCTGGTTGGGTTCGAACTGCCAACCTATTGACTAGCAGTCAGGCACTTAACCATTTGCGCCACCCAGGGGTTCCTATCAGAGATAGACCTAGAGGATAATAATAAAAAGTTATCATTTCACTCTGTGGGTTCGTGTTGGAATTTGAGATCTTATTGGTATTGGCTACATTCTCTTAGATATTAATCTTAGATATGACTTAAGAGCGTGTTAGGTATTAAAACATGTCAATGTTTTTCTTGAAGGTGAGTGACCTTTCATTCCATGATTCATTAGCTACTTTCATTGCTATTCTGATAGCACGACAGTGTTTCTCCCTGGAGGACGTCGTGCAGCACGTAGCGCTTCCCTCTCTCCTTGCAGCAGGTAAGACAGAGTGAGGGACACCATTTGTTACCTGACTGTTCCCTTAGTGGGGTGGCACCCACCGGCAAAAGGCGGTGAACGTAGTGTTTAAGGTGCATATACTGGGAAGTGGTGTGACATCAAGGGGAGGATGGTAGAATTCTCATAGCAGTTCTATACTGAGTAATATAGATCCCAATGGAAAAAGATTGAAAACTGCTGTTTTATTATATTTTAAGGACACAGTCACATTTCTCAGAAAAACAGTCCGTGTCTTAGCTTTTTACTTCAAGGTGCGTTTATTTAAATTATTCCAGCAAAATAAGCTTAATTAAAAATCCTGAAGACTTGTACTTGGATATGTTAGAAGACTTGGTTGTAAAATTCTTTTTCCCTAGCTTGTGGGGATGCAGATGCGGAGCCTGGAGCCAGAATGACATGTCGAATCCTGCTGCATCTCTTCCGAGCTCCCCAGGCCTGCTTTTTACCTCAAGCCACCGGTGAGCTGACGGCTGACAAATCTCTTGATTGCACTTCGATTTGGAGTTTTGGGTTCTAAAATGACCCAATAGCCTGGTCCATCCTGAATTTGGTGGACTTGCTTTAGGGGTGATTAAGGCGTGAGTTAATGCCACAGAGACAGCTGCCAGTACCTTTCAGTGATTATATAATATCTGGATATGTCGAGAAATGCAGATCAGGAGTTAATACACAATAAAATACCTCTGCTGTTAGGCAAAGCCAGGCCAGTGGGCAGGATGAGCCTTTAATATACTACGTATGTTGGTTATGAACCACACCATAGCAGCTTAGGGCAAAGGTGATTCATTTATTCTTTTGAGGTAGGAACTCTAGAGGTGTTAATGAAGACCATTCATAAAGATCATTTCCATATAGTATATATGTGTGTGTGTGTGTGTTTGTGTGTAAGAATCAGTAAAAGTATATGAAAGTCCTGCTCATCTTTTAGATACATCTCTCCAAGGAGTAAAGACCTCTTTTTAATAATTAAAAAGAAAAGGTTAAATAAGCAGTACTGGCAATGAGAGCTAGCTAATGGCAATTTAGCGCCCACAGTCTTCCAGCGGAAGGCCCTGCAGTCTAAACACTTGTAAAAGATTGTTTTTGATGGTGATGAGATTATTCAAGGTGTGTTGTTGTTCTCCTAGGCAAACCTTTCCCTGGAATAAGATCATCTTGTGATCGACACCTCTTAGCCGCTGCTCACAACAGCATCGAAGTGGGAGCTGTGTTTGCTGTCTTAAAAGCAATTATGATGCTTGGTAAGACTATCCTGGCAGAAGCTTCTTGGTGGATCACCAGACACAGAGATCAAGTAACTTGTATTTGGGATTGAATCTAGTTAATATTATTAGGAATGTTTTTGTTTTGTTTAATCTTCTTGATTTTCCCCCAAGCCCAAGGACAGTCAGACTCTGGGAGGAGTCTGTCCTTTATCTAGAGTGACTCTGGGGAAATTTAAACATAAATATTTTTTTGTGGTATTGTATTGCAGGATGTCTTGTTCTGATGCAATAGAGATCCTCAGACCCAAAGAGCCGTTTTGTCTTTTTTTGTTTTTTCACAGAATCTAGGTTTCTTTTTTTTTTTATTGTGCTTTAAGTGGAAGTTTACAGTTCAAGTTAGTCTCTCATATAAAAATTCATGCACACTTTATTATGTGACCCTAGTTGCTCTCCCTGTACTGTGACAGCACACTCCTCCTTTCCACCCCGATTTCCCATGTTCATTCAACCAGCTCCTGACCCTCTCTGCCTTCTCATCTCGCCTCTGGACAGGAGCTGCCCATTTAGTCTCAGGCATCTACTTGAGCTAAGAAGCACACTCTTCATGAGTATCGTTTTATGTCCCATAGTCCAGTCTAATCTATGTCTGAAGAGTTGTCTTCGGGAATGGTTTCAGTTCTGGGCTAACAGAGAGTCCAGGGGCTATGATTTCCAGGGTCCCTCCAGTCTCCGTCAGACCATTAAGTCTGGTCTTTTTACTAGAATTTGAGTTCTGCACCCCACTTTTCTCCTGCTCCGTCAGGGACTCTCTGTTATGTTCCCTGTCAGGACGGTCATTGGTGGTAGCTGGTCTGATCTCAGGCTAATGAAGTCTCTGGTTTATGTGGCCTTTTCTGTCTTTTCGGCTAATGTTTTCCTTGTGTCTTTAGTGTTCTTCATTCTCGTTTGCTCCACGTGCGTTGGGACCAGTTGATGCATCTTAGATGGCCACTTGCTAGCTTTTAAGACCCCAGACACTACTCACCAAAGTGGGATGCGGAACATTTTCTTAATAAACTTTGTTATGCCAGTTGACCTAGATGTCCCCTGAAACCATGGTTCCCAGACCCCCATCCCTGCTACTCTATCCCTTGAAGTGTTTGATTGTATTCAGGAAACTTACTAGCTTTTGGTTTAGTCCAGTTGTGTTGACTTCCCCTGTACTGTGTGTTGTCCTTCCCTTCACATAAGATAATTCTTATCTACCTTCTAGTTAGTGAATACCGCTCTCCCTCCCTCCCCACCCTTGTAACCATCAAAGAATGTTTTCTTCTGTGTTTAAACCTTTTCTTGAGTTCTTATAATAGTGGTCTCGTACAATATTTGTCCTTTTGCAACTAATTTCACTCAGCATAATGCCTTCCAGATTCATCCATGTTATGAGATGTTTTTCGGATTCATCATTATTCTTTATTGTTGCATAGTATTGAATTGGGTGAATATACCATAATTTGTTTATCTATTCGTCCGTTGCTGGGCACCTAGGTTGTTTCCATCTTTTTGCTATTGTGAACAGTGCTGCAGTGAACATGGGTGTGCATGTGTCTATTTGTGTGATGGCTCTTATTTCTCTAGGATATATTCCAATGAGTGGGATTGCTGGATCATATGGTACTTCTATTTCTAGCTCTTTAAGGAAGTGCCAAATCGATTTCCAAAGTGGTTGTACCGATTTACATCCCCACCAGCAGTGTACAAGTGTTCCAGTCTCTCCACAACCTCTCCAACATTTATTATTTTGTGTTTTTTTGATCAACGCTAGCCTTGTTGGGGTGAGATGGTATCTCATTGTCATTTTGATTTGCATTTCTCTAATGGCTGGCTAATGATCGTGAGCATTTCTTCCTGTATCTATTAGCCAGCTGAATGTCTTCTTTGGTGAAATGCCTGTTCATATCCTTTGCCCATTTTTTAATTGGGTTGTTTGTCTTTTTGTTGTTGAGGTTTTGCAGTATCTTGTAGATTTTAGAGATTAGATGCTGATCGGATTTGTGCTAGCCAAAATTTTTTTCCCAGTCTGTAGGTTGTCTTTTGACTCTTTTGGTGAAGTCTTTTGATGAGCGTAAGTGCATGGTTTTTTGGAGCTCCCAGTTGTCTAGTTTCTCTTCTGGTGTTTGCGCATTGTTACTTATGGTTTATATTCTGTTTATGCCATGTACTAGGGCTCCTAGCATTGTCCCTATTTTTTCTTCCATGATCTTTATTGTTTTCGATTTTATATTTAGGTCTTTGATCCATTTTGAGTTCATTTTTGTGCATGGTGTGAGGTATGGGTCTTGTTTCAGTTTTTGGCAGATGGATATCCAGTTATGCTAGCACTGTTTGTTAAAGAGACCATCCCCAGTTAACGGACTTTTGCCTTTGTCAAATATCAGCTGCTCATAGGTGGATGAATTTATGTCTGGATTCTCAATTCTGTTCCATTTGTCTATGTATGTGTTGTTATACCAGTACCAGGCTGTTTTGACTACCATGGCGGTGTAATAAGTTCTAAAATAAGATAGTGTGAGGCCTCCCACTATGTTCTTCTTCTTTAGTAATACTTTACTTATCCAGGGCCTCTTCCCTTTCCATATGAAGGTGGTGATTTGCTTCTCTATCTCATTTAAAACTACCATTGGGATTTGGATTGCGATTGCATTGTATCTGTGATATCTTTGGGTAGAATTGACATTTTCACAATGTTGAGTCTTCCTGTTGATGAGCAAGGTATGTTTTTCCACATATGTAGGTCTCTTTTGGTTTCTTGCAGTAGTGTCTCGTAGTTTTCTTTGTATAGGTCTTTGTCTCTGTTTAGGTTTATTCCTAAGTATTTTATCTTCTTGGGGCTATTGTAAATGGTATTGATTTGGTGATTTCCTCTTGGAAGTTCTCTTTGTTGGTGTAGAGGAACCCAACTGATTTTTGTATGTTTACCTTGTATCCTGATACTTTCTGAAATTTTCTATTAGTTCCAGTCGTTTTCTTGTGGATTCTTTGGGGTTTTCTGTGTATATGATCATATCATCTGCAAATAGAGATACTTTGACTTCTTCCCTACCAATTTGGATGCCTTTTATTTCATTTTCTAGCCTAATTGCTCTGCCTAGGACCTCCAGCACAATGTTGAATAAGAGTGGTAATAAAGGGCATCCTTGTCTGGTTCCCATTCTCAAGGGGAATGCTTTCAGACTGTCTCCATTTAGGATGATGTTGGCTGTTGGCTTTGTATAAATGCCCTTTATTATGTTGAGGAATTTCCCATCTATTCCTGTTTCGCTGAGAGTTTTTATCATGAATGGGTGATGGACTTTGTCAAATGCCTTTTCTGCATCAATGAATAAGATTGCTTGGTTCTTGTCTTTTGTTTTATTTATGTGATGGATTACATTGATTGTTTTTCTAATGTTGAACTATCCCTGCATACCTGGTATGAATCCCACTTGGTCATGGTGAATTATTTTTTTGATATGTTGTTGAATTCTATTGGCTAGAATTTTGTTGAGGATTTTTGCATCTATGTTCATGAGGGATCTTGGTCTATAATTTTCTTTTTTGTGGTGTCTTTACCCGGTTTTGGTATCTGGGTTATGCTGGCTTCATAGAATGAGTTTGGGAGTATTCTATCCTTTTGTATGCTCTGAAATACCTTTAGTAGTAGTGGTGTTAACTCTTCTCTGAAAGTTTGGTAGATTTCTCCAGTGAAACTGTCCAGGACAGGGCATTTTTTATTGGGAGTTTTTAATTGCCTTTTCTATCTTTTCTTTTGTTATAGATTTATTTAGTTGTTCTACCTCAGTTTGTGTTACTTTAGGTAGGTAATGTGTTTCTAGATATTTGTCCACTTCCTCTAGATTTTCAAATTTGTTAGAGTACAATTTTTCATAGTAATCTGTTACAATTCTTTTCATTTCCATTGGGTCTGTTGTGATATCACCCATCTCATTTCTTATTCTGGTTATTTGCTTCCTCTCCTGTTTTTCTTTTGTCAGTTTGGCCAGCGGTTTATCGATTTTGTTGATCTTTTCAAATAACCGGCTTTTAGTCTTGTTAACTCTTTCAGTTGTTTTTCTATTTTCTATCCCCTTTAATTCTACTCTGATTTTTATTATTTGCTTTCTTCTGGTGCCCAAGGGCTTCTTTTGCTGCTCACTGCTTGTTCACATTGCAGGGTTAATGTTTTCATTTTGGCCCTTTCTTCTTTTTTGATGTGTGCATTTATTGCTATAAAGTGACCTCTGAGCACTGCTTTTGCTGTGTCCCAAAGGTTCTAGTAGGATGTGTTTTTATTCTCATTTGATTCTGTGAATTTCTTTATTCTGTCCTTAATTTCTTCTATAAGCCAGTAGTTTTTGAGCATGGTGCTGTTCAGTTTCCATGTATTTGATTTTTTTTCCTTGTTTTTTCTGCTGTTAATTTCTAGTTTTATGGCTTTATGGTCAGAAAAGATGCTTTGTAGTATTTTGATGCTTTGGAGTCTGTTAAGGCTTGCTTTATGGCCTAATATGTGGTCTATTCTGGAGAATGTTCCATGTGCGTTGGAAAAGAAAGTATACTTGGAGGCTGTTGGGTGGAGTGTTCTGTATGTGTCTGTGAGATCAAGTTCATTGATTGTGGCATTTAGATCTTCCATGTCTTTACTGAGCTTCTTACTGGATATTCTGTCTTTCACGGAAAGTGGTGTGTTGAAGTTTCCTACTACTATTGTGGAACTGTCACTCTCTCTTTTCAGTGCTGTTAGAGTTTGTTTTATGTATTTTGGAGCCCTGTTGTTGGGTGCATAAATATTTATTATAGTTATGTCCTCCTGGTGTATTGACCCTTTAATCATTATATAGTGTCTTTCCTTATCCTTTGTGGTGGATTTTACTTTAAAGTCCATTTTGTCAGAGATTAATATTGCCACTCCTGCTCTTTTTTGCGTGTTGTTTGCTTGATATATTTTATTCCATCCTTTGAGTTTTAGTTTGTTTGTGTCTTTAAGGTGTGTCTCTTGCAGGCAGCATATAGATGGGTCA